GGAGCTGTCGGACACCTGGCAGGTGGGAGTTCAGTGAGCGGGGAGCGGCCAGGCGCCCCCTCTGGCAGCCCTTGGAGGAAGGCCACGACCCAGGCCTGTGGTCTCCTCTGAGCACAGACTGAACACGGACACCCCTACCCTCCACCCCGCTCCAGGCGCATCTGTCCCGAGGCGGCCGCTGGAAGGAGTCCCCGCGGAAGCTGGTCTTGGGCGAACTCCAGGACGAGCTGATGAGCGTGCGTCTGCGTGAGGCCCAGGCCCTGGCCGAGGGTCGCGAGCTGCGGCAGCGTGTGGTGGAACTTGAAACCCAGGTGGGCGCTCGGCCCCAAAGCCGGCCTGCGTGGGGGAGGGTGCTTGGTGTTGGCGCCATTGGCCAGGCAGTGATCCCCGCTGGCCCGCCTGCTGTCCCACCCTTAGGACCACATCCACCGCAACCTGCTGAACCGCGTGGAGGCCGAGCGCGCCGCGCTGCAGGAGAAGCTGCAGTACCTGGGCGCGCAGAACAAGGGGCTGCAGACGCAGCTCAGCGAGAGCCGCCGCAAGCAGGCCGAGGCGGAGTGCAAGGTGCCGTCCCTTGCCCAGCCCTCCCGGCCCTGCCCCAGCCCTCGCCGCCCCCCTGACAGCCCCTTCTCTCCCATCCCAGAGTAAGGAAGAGGTGATGGCCGTGCGTCTGCGGGAGGCGGACAGCATGGCTGCGGTGGCTGAGATGAGGCAGCGCATCGCGGAGCTGGAGATCCAGGTGAGCGGGGTTCCGGGCGGGGATGTGGAGGTCAGACTTGGGGGCCGGGCCCTGCCTGCTCTGACCGCAGGTGCCCTGGCCCTCCCCGCAGAGGGAGGAGGGCCGCATTCAGGGCCAACTGAACCACTCAGACTCGTCGCAGTACATCCGTGAGCTCAAGGACCAGATTGAGGAGCTGAAGGCGGAGGTGAGCGTTCGGGAATACCGGTGACAGGCCAGGCGTCGGTGCAGTAAGAAGGATGCTTCTAGGAGGGCGGGGGAGGAGGGTGCCTGGCAGCTGGACTCCGGCGTGGGTACATCGGCCCACCCCTCCAGCGCGCCGGTCCCCGCCCCAGGTGCGGCTGCTGAAGGGCCCGCCACCCTTCGAGGATCCACTGGCTTTCGATGGACTGAGCCTGGCCCGGCACCTGGATGAGGACTCGCTGCCGTCGTCAGACGAGGAGCTGCTCGGCGTGGGCGTGGGCGCTGCTCTACAGGACGCGCTCTACCCTCTGTCCCCGCGCGATGCGCGCTTCTTCCGACGTCTGGAGCGACCCGCCAAGGACAGCGAGGGCAGCTCAGACAGTGACGCAGATGAGCTGGCCGCGCCCTATAGCCAGGGCCTGGACAACTAAGACCCGGTTCCCCGCGGCGGAGCCGGGAAGCCACAGCCTCGGTACGCGGGGCAGTCAACCGCCTGCTGCTCCGCACACGCACTTAAGAACTCCACGCCTCGGCGGCTCCGCCTACCCCAGGGCCGAGTCAGCGAGGCAGCACGTAGAGGGCAGGGCCCCGGCAGGCCCTCCCTCCCCAGCAGTGTTTACCCTTCTTGGTGGTACCTCTCCGGCCCTCTCGTGTCCCACGGGTGGTGCCTGAGCAGTTGCCTGGAAGGTCTGCCCTCCACACTGAGGGCAGGGGCGGCGATGAAGAGACGGCAGGACTGGATGAGTGGGCTTCCTTCAGAAACAAGGGCGGCCCTGCTGGGAAGGGCCCAGGAGCTAGAAGAGGCCTGAGGAAGAGGGGCAGCTCTGGGCTGGACATTAGCACCCCATGAGGATGCCCTCAGGACACAGTGACCCTTGATCAGCCAGCTCCTGGCTGCCAGGGACAGATGACCAGGCTAGGCTTTCCTGCCTGGTGCAGGCATTGTGGCCCCGGTAGCAGAAACCAAAGTCCCCCCTTATGTAAAGGACCACCTGGGGTGTGAGTGGCCAGCAGGGGCCAGCTCAAGCCTGGGCAGTATTTCCCTGCTTCTCTGGGGCCAGAGAAGCTATAAGGAAGCAAAGAGATCCCTCTCCCCAGCCCCCCATCATCTTCTGGGAATTACTGGCATCACCTATCTTGGCCAGTGAAGCAAGGGGACTCTTTCCTTGAGATTCCTCAGCCTCATCCACTTTTCTTCCTTCCTGTGGCCCTAGCCCCACCCTCAGGCTAGGGTCAGGCCCATGGGTGGAGTTTCCCAGCACAGTTGCCTCCTCCAGTCTCTGCTGAACCCCAGTTGAGAACGGTGCCAAAGCCCAATGATGCCCCCCCAGACCCTTTCCAAGTCCCACCCGGGGCCTCCTGACTGTCAGGGCTGACCCCCTCGGTGCTCCTGGAGCCTCGAGTAGAGTACCATCACAAGCAATCTCCCTGGCACATCCTGGGGTGGGGACCCCTGCTCAGTATCCCCTTCCTGGTCACCCACTCTTCAGTGTTACCAAGCCTGGGGACCAGGGCAGGCACCTGCGGGGCTGTCCCACATGCCACCCACACTGCCCACCACCATTTTGCACACTGCCTGTTCACACTCCACATGTCGCCCAGGCGAGAAAGATGGAAAATAAAGTGTATTTACACAGTCATGGACAAGGGGCTCTGAGTGGGGCAGGCCTGAGGTGGAGAGGATTACAGCAGCAACAGGTGCCCTGTCCCTGGCCAGCAACAGAGCTGAGAGGCAGTGCTGTCCTTGCCCTCCAGAGCCTCCTGCAGTCTAACACAGTTGCCAGGAGAGGAAAGGGCATCATCTGTGGTCGCTGGTTGGTGTGAGCAAGGCTGTGGGAGAGGTGGAAGACAGGATATGACCCCCACTGAGGCCTCCCCTGGGACACAAGCAGAAAGCCCAGCTTCCAGAAGAGCAGGATCTGGTTGCCTTCATTCAGCACACACTTCAAGAAGCTTTCTAGGGTGCTCTGTCCTGTGCCTTATTCAAGTATGGTGAAGATTGAACTGCCACTAATGTGGTAAGTGCCAAACAGACACCAGTTTGAGGAAATCAAGGAAGGCTTCCTGGAGGAGACAATGTCAGAGCTTTCTTCAAGGGCAAAAGCATGAAGGCTAGATGTCACTGGGACCAGCAAGGAAGGGACAGGATACCCAGGAAGAAGAGGAAAACTTGGGTGTGGCCAGAAAAGGAAGGAGTTACTTGGGTTAGGATGGAGAATTTGGGCTTTGAACTGAAGGTAGTGGGAGCCAATTGAGGGCATAGGGGAGAAGGACACCATCAGATAGACGACGGCGTGTTTGGAGGTCAGTGAAGAAGCTGGTGCAGAGACCACGCCAAGCCAGGCAGTAGGGACAGTGGGTGGAAGCACCCTGGGAGAAGAGGACCCAAGGAGGCAAGAGTCCTTTGTGGGGCTTCCTATGAAGCTGAGCTGGAGTCCCAGCTGGTGTGTGGAGGGACAAAGCGGGGATCACAAAGGAAGGCTGCAGAGGGCAGAATCTTATTTGGTCTGGGCAGATGACAACCAGGCCCTGCCCTCTGCACCAGTGTGGACCCCAAAATGGCCCCCTCTGCTACCTGATGACTGCTGGGCAGCCAGACATGACAGTCTTTGCATGCCAGGATAACCAAGTTCACATATTGTCCCATCACGCGGGATGCCTCTGGGGCAACACCCATCATTACCAGATTTACCCACAGTCCCTGTGCCTTCTGCTTCCCTGGGGCAACTGGCTCCACCCCAGTCATTTCCCCGGGCTAGAGCAGGGCTCCTGAGGAGCCATCTGAGCTTCTCCCCTGCCTTTTCCTGGGGCTGGCCTTCAGGTCCTGGCTGCCCAGCATATCAAGAGTCAGCCTCTCCTGGGCTTGTCTCAATGTCTGAGAACAAGAAACTCTGGTTTCCCACCAGGGCCCAGTTGGAGAGGAAACTCTATCTGGGAGGCTGAATGAGGGAGCTGGCTGGCCTTCCATTCTACTCACTATTGGCTCCCCAGGGTGGAGATAACACAGCCCCTCTGAGCCCATTTATCTTTGGACCCCAGGCTGGGAGGTAGCTGTTTTGAGGTGGGGACAGACACAACTTGGTGATCTTTTCTGACAAGGGCCTGGTCACTGGGTGGAGTAAGGGGACCAGGTCCAAAGGTCCCTTTGCCCCATCATTCTCAGTGTCCAGCAGAGGCCCTTGAGGAGGAAAAGCCTAGGGGGGAACTCCTTGCAGAGGTGTTTGGGAAGGTGGGAGGGCCTGGAGTGGAGCTAGAAGGGATCTGGCATGGGAGTGTCTGGGCTGGGTGCAGGGCAGGAAGCGCAAGGAAAGATGTGGGGACAGGGGATGTCGCAGGTAGGGCACAGGGCAAGAATGTTTGTGGGGTTATGATGCACAAAATGGCCCAGTGAGGACTGCCCATCTCCCACCCAGCCCTGGCAGAGGCCACTTCTTCCTTGCAGGCTCCGACCAGGTCAGTCAGCCCAACATCTTACATCCAAGAAGTGTCCTTTAAGCCCCTGGCCCGGCTGCTGGTTTGCCTTCTGCACTACAGTCACGGAGGGCGGAGTGCCCAGGGTCAGGAAGGTGGCAGGGGAACAGAGGACACCAATGGACCCCTTCCTCGGCCTCCAGGCCCTACTCTGGGTAGGAGAGTCCCTACCCAGAGGACGCATAAGGTAAGGGGATGTGCGCTGTGGGAAGAGGGCCAACCCTTCTCGCTTTTAACCCAGGAATGGGGAGAGCTCAGTCGCTTCTCCACTACAGATGCGCATTGCATTCGCTCATCTGTTCGCTCCCCTCTTGAGCCTAATGTTTCCACTAGAAGTAGGACCTAAAGAACTACAAATTCATGGACTTGGGTAGGCATGTACCGCGGGGCGACCAGGGCTCCTCTGCGGCAGCCCCACCTCTCCTGCCCCTTTTTTTCCTCCGGTGAAGAGGTTCAGCCAGAATTCCCACCTGTCCCCCGCAGCTGCCAGAACCCCTCGCGCTGGTCAGCTGCCCACTGGTTCTGTGGAGGTCCCCCAAGTCCCGACCCTGCGGCGAGATCGAGGGCACACAAACTCCAGCGTCCCGGTTTTATTGCAAACTCGGGCTGCACCGGGTAGACAATGCACAGGACGTGGGACGGGAGCAAAGCAGGACTCACGGAGGGCAGAGGCGCGTCTTAGATTAAATGGGTAGCCTCGAGGGGAGGTCCTAGGCCAAGGGTGTGGGTGGGCCCCAAAGGTAGAGGTGGAGCTTGGTCCCAAAGACTGCCACACTAGGGGCTACTAAAAACAATCTAACGACAGAGGGGCTCCAGGGCAATGGGGGCGGGGTCTAAGACAAAGAGGTGTCACCGGAGGAGCGGACCCTAAAACAGGGGTGGTTGGCGGGGCTACCGTCTGGCTTAGTGGAAAGTCTCCACTTCCACCACAGTCCAGTCACCCTGCGGGGAGGCCACGTCATCTGGAGAGAAGCTGGTGACCGAAGTGATGCTGGCACGGGATTCGTCCAGAGGAGACAACAGTTCGGCCCAGCGGCCCAGTTCGGCGTCGCTGAGCGGAGCTCGGGAGCTCCCGGTGACACCACCACCTCCCGCACCCCCTGGACCACTGCCGCTGCCTCCCGCACTACCCTCGGCCGCCGCCAGCAGCAGCGTCCGGCTCAGCAGGTGCTGCACGACGCTAGCCTGCAGCGCCCCCAGCGGCAGCTCGCCCAGGCGCGCAAGCTTTGGGCTCCGCGAGGACACCCCAGTCCCGGGCCCGGTCGCAGCCTTCCCACCACCAGCGCCGGACTCGGGCCCCTGATCCAGTGCTCCTGGTGTGGGAGTCGCCGACTCGGGCCCTTCCGCCTCATAGATGGTGCACAGACCATCAGTTGAGCCAGGCCCGGCAACTGGAGGCCACGGCAGGGCCGATCCTGCCGGGAAAGATTAGACCTTGAGCAGAGAGAGCTGGAAATTCGGTCCCCAATCCAACTGGCCCTCCCACAAGCTGCGAGCCCCGCCCCCTGCCCCACCCACAGCCCGGTCCGGCCCACAATCTCCCTTACCTGGCGCGCCGCGGATTGCCAGTGGTGGAGCCGAACTTCGGCTCCAGGCGGCCGGGTGGCAGGCTGCGAGCTCCGCGTCTGCAGGTGGGGAGGCTGCGGCGCCACCTTCGGGCCCGCTGTCGTAGCCGCGCAGCTCCTCGGGCGTGCTTGTGGCGCTGCTACTGTGGCCGGCCAGGTCCGGGCCGCTCAATGTACTGGACGGGCTGCGCGAAGGTGGCGGCGGCGCGGCGGGGGCCAGTGCCAGGGTCAGCCGTGGACCCGAAATGGAAGCATCTGGACCTGGGGTCGGGGGGCGGCGTGGAACCTGCGGAGGGGGCGAGGCAGGGGTCTGCAGAATGGGTGAGGACAGTGAGGGCGGAGCCTGTGGGGGCGTGGCCACGGGAGAGGGAGGAGCCTGAAGAGGGGACAAGGCCAGAGGTGGGACATGCTGAGGGGGGGTGGTTGTGGGAGGGGCCTGCAGAGTGGGCAAGACTGAAGGAGAGAGAGGGGGAGAGTCCAGAGGTGGAACCTGTGGAGGGGGCGGGGCAGAGAGAGACAGAGGAACCTGCCGAGGAGGTGAGGCGGGAGGAGAGAGAAGAGCCTGCAGAGGTGAGGCAGGAGGAGAGGGAGAGAGAAGAGCCTTCAGAGGAGGTGAGGAAGGAGGAGAGGGAAGGGGCAAATGGTATGTGGTAGGGGGAGAAGGGGCCTGCAGAGGGGGCGAAGTCAGAGAAGGTTGGGTTTGTATCAGGGAAATGGGCAGGAAAGAAGGTGTGGCTTGCAGAAGAGGGGAGCCCAGAGAAAGTGAGGCCTGCGGAAAGGAGGAAGCCAAAGGAGGAGTGGACTGCAGAGGTGGTGAGGCCAGAGAAGTTGAGGCCTGTATGGGTGGCATGGTCAAGAGAGAGGGAGAGGGCTGTAAAGGGGGCGTGATCAGAGAGGATGGGGCCTGCACAGGGGGCGTGCCCAGGGGAAAGGAAGGGGACTGCAGAGGCTGTGAGGCCAAAGGAGAGGGAGAAACTAGGGGAGCATCCTGCAGAGGGGATGTGACCGGAAGAGAAGGGTCTTGTGAGGGAGGCATGGCCAAAGTACAGGGGTTGGCCTGAAGAGAGGGCGGAGACAAGACAGGACTGACCAGTGGAGGGCTCACAGTCAGAGTGGAAAGGGCTGGCAGAGAGGGCATGGTCAAGGGAGAGGAGGGATTCTGTGGAGATACTGGCGGAGAAATAGGGGTTTGTAGAGGGGCCGTAGCTAAAGGTTGAGGAGCGGACAAAGGAGGTGTGGCCAAGGGAGTCTGAAGAGGGGACCAAGCCGAAGCCTGGGTGGAAAGCACATTCTGCAGAGGAGGTGAAACTGATGTAGCCATGGGCAACGGGGAGACCGAAGCCTCTTGAGGAAAGGCTATATCCTGGCATGTGGGTGGAGCTTGCAGGGGAGGCGTGGCCGGTGGAGAGGGGAGAGTCTGCAAAGAGAGTGGAGCGACCGTGGCTAAAGAAAGGGGCGTGGCTGTCGGGCCAGTTAGTGTCTGTGAATGGGGCGTGTCCTGTGGGGAGGATGTGGCAGGAAGATTCAGCAATGCAGGTGGAGGTGGTGTGGTGGGTGGAGAGGGAGGGAGTGTGGCCAGCAGGGGAGCCCCGGAGACTTGGGGAAGTGGTGCCTGTTGTACTGTGGAACCAGGTGGCGAGGACGTGGCCAAAGGAGGAGGAGATACCAGGCCCTGCACTGAGGCTGCGTCCTTTCTTGCTGATGTGGCCTGCAGAGGGCGTAGAGTGTGCAGTCCTTTGGACTTGGGCTGCGAGGTATGTGCAGGAGCTCGCGGAGTTCCACGGGCCAAAGCCCCAGAACGAGCTGGGGAGGACAGTGGAGTAGCATTGGAGCCCAGGGGACGAGAGGCCGGCTTTTGGAGGCTCCCGCCAGCATTGGGGCGCCTCCTGGCGGCTGGGCTGGCCTCTGTGGTACTGTGTTCTGTTGCACTGCTCACTGATTTCCTGGGCAACTCAGTTGGGGGACGTGGCCGGGCACTTGCAGCTGGTCGGGGGAGTCCTGCTTCTGTGCCCATAGCCTTAGACCTCCGGGCAATGGCTGGGGAGGAGGCTCCTGAGGTGGGCCCTGAAGAGTCTGGAGACAAAGCAGAAAATCGAAAGTGCCAGATACCTCCTGGCTAGTCCCCCTCACATCCAGGAACCACCTCATCCCAGATCACATACCCTTTCGTGCTCCAGAGCTCAGGACACTTTTTTTGGGTGCCTCTGGGGTTTTTCCTCTGGCCACAGGTTCCTCAGCTGGAGGCCTGAGCCCCTTCTGTCCAACAGGGCCTGGCCTGGGGACAGGAGGGACCAGCTCTTTATTAGACCTCCCAATTTTACATTTTCCCATATGTAAAATGGGGCACATACCCTCTCTGCCATCCCCAAATGACTTTCACCCAATTTGCACCTATTTATATGCAAACGTTCCTAAGCCCCTAACTCATGTGTAACATTAGAAAGTTCAGCCCAGCAAAGTGACACAGCCTAATCCCAGCAACTTGGTAAATTGAGGTAGGAGGATCACAAGATCCAGGCCATCCTCAGCAATTTGGCAAGACCCTGTCTCAAAATGAAAAATAAAAAGGGCTGGGGATGTAGCTCAGTGGCAGAGTGCTTGACTAGCATGTGTGAGTCCCTGGGTTCCATCCCCAGTACTGTAGAGACAAAAGAAATTAAATAGCAGTTTAGACTGTGACGCTAACCCTTGCTTAGGGAACTAAGGAGGTGGGGCAAATTACCTGGCAGTCCCGCTGGCACGCCCTGGGCTGGAGATAGAGCCCTGGCCTGGGGTCTTGGCAGAGGCCCTTTCCCCTCTCCCAGCCGCTGCGGGCCTGGAGGCTGCAGGGAGAAATTTTTAGTTAAGGTGCCCCGGAAGGGAGTCTCAGAAGCAAGAGGAATGGGTCGGGGTGGGGTTATGGGCTCAGAACTGAGGGAGCTGGGTACCTGGACTCCGCGGACCTGCTCCAGCGCTCCGAGTCGGTGCCACTCGGGCTGCAGCCTCGGGAACAGCGGCTCCGCTGACGCCCCCACCTCGTTCCGCCAGGGGCCTTCTTCCCATAGCTCCGGTTGCTCCCAAAACTCGAAGGGCTGCGGCGGTTACTGGGGGAGGAGGTCGAGGAGACCCTGGGGGCCTGGGGGTCGCAAGACCGGGAGGACGAGAAGCCGGCGTCCGCACGGCAGCCCCTGTCTTGGCCTTGTCCTTCTTGTCCATCCCGCACCTGATGAGGAGACCGTCGGATCAGTATCCCAGCTCCTGACCCCCTGCGTTGCCTGTTGGGATCTAGACCCCGGCACCTCGCTGCCCTTTCCCCAGCATCGCCACCCATGGGTGTGCAGACCTCCGCCCGGGCCTGGTTTCCCTTCCTTCCCACACACCCACACCCGCTCACGAGCCGGTCTGCTCATCCGAGCGCTCGAGTCCCACCCAAGCCCCCTCCCCTCCCTCGCATCGACATCCACGCCCTACCCTTCGCCCCACGGGAACCCCGAAGATCAGCCTCGGCCAGAGAGGGCAGCCAAAGGGTCCAGATGCGGGGGTCCCGAACGCACGCCCTTGTCTCCCCACCGTCCCCCAGCGCCATCCCCCATCCTCCCCAAGGGATGCCAGCACCTGCCACGAGACAGAGCGGCCCCTCGGCCCCGCGAACTGGCTACCGGAGACAAAGAGCCGCGTCCCGGGCCCGCCCCCTCCCCCAGCCCGGCCCCGGCCCGCGCCCGGCCCCTCCACCTGCTCGCGGCTCGCTCACCTCCGGCTCCGGCCTCCCGCCGCTCCACCGAGGGTCGCCTGGGGTGGGGCGGGGCCGGAGCACCGCGAGCGGCGGGAAGGCCAGCGGAGGGGGCTGCAGGCGGCGGCGCCGGGGGAGCCTGGCGGGCCCCGCCCCTCGGCCGCGGGCGGGGAGCCCGGGGCGCGCGCTGGATCCCAACCCGGGAGCGCGCCGAGGGGTGGGGAGAGGCTCGCGTCGGAGGAAGGGGCCGCCTCTCGTTGGTCAGAGGGAGGCCTATTTCCGCGACTCCGCCTAAAGACCCCAAAGACTCAACGAGAGGGACTCGGCGGGGAAATCACTTGGGGACCCCCAGTCCTCCCCACATGCACTCACGCACCTGCTCCGACCAGCACCCCAACCACCTGGAGACCAAGGCCCGCCTGGACGCGGATAGGCTGAGCCCTGGCAACAAGGGGGCGGGACCACCGCGCCTCTGGCCCGCCGACCAATCCAGACACTGTGTCCCTCGTCCCTGTCGTGGCCTTCGTGACTGTGGAAGCCTGGCCGCCCAGGGGTGTCTGGGGGAATCTACCCCAAGGCTTTTCTCAGACCCTATGAAAGCCCTTAGCTAAGGTGGGATAGGTCTTGTTGCTAGGAGACCACGGCCCTGGGAAACTAGAGGATGCTAGGCAGACCCCAGATTTTTGGGAAGAGGAGGAAGGGAAGGATGGGAAAGAGACAAGAAAAACAGTATGGTGAGAGTATGGTATGGTGACAGTATGGTGACCCAGTCTTCTGTAGGGCAGAGCTCTTCCACTTCCACACCCTCCCAGCTCTAGGTCACAGCAGCGAAGGTTTCCCGCCAGATTTGGGCTTTGGGGAGACAGACTACCAGGGGCTGGGTGGTATCAAAACAAGTGCATGAAGGATCTGAGGACACCTTTTCTGACTGCCTGAATCTAGCTTGAGCAAGTGGGAGGTGTCCTTTCAGATACCTTCACCTGACATCACGGGGCCTCAGCAGAGATTGACATGAAGGGTGTTCAACCAAAACTCTGGAGGTCTAGTGGCCTCCGAAATAAAAGGATTCTTGAGCCATTACAGTTGCTAGACAGAAAAAGGACAAGGTCCTGGAACAAGTTCCCATAACTTTCAGAAGCAGAGCTGGAGAGAAGTCGGCAGTATGTCCACTGGGCCTAGAGATAAAAGCATTTTTATAACAAAAATTTGGGGAAGGCAGGCATGAATTGTTTCACTGAACTTTCATGGCTATAGATAAAAGGAACAGGGTAACAAAATCATGCAGAGTTTTCCGATAGGAAACCTACATTCAGGAACATGGTTTTGTTGTTTGGGGACCACTTTTAACTTACTAACTCCCTTATCTCTCCTCCTCCTCCACTCTCTGGCCCTTACAATTAAATTGAGGATATCTCCGAATTTTTCTCTGATCAAGGGGGTGTAGACTAAAGCAGGCAATGGCCATTCTCAGGTGCCCTGTGCTGACCTCCTGATGAACCTCCCCTTGTATCTGAGGCTTTGTCTCCTCTATCAGCCAAGTTCTCTCTCCATGTTGTGCTTTCTGCCTTGGTGCCTCCTGCCTCCCGGCTCACAGTCCCTCTTCACCCCATCCCAAAGAATCAGCTCCCTGTCACATGTGCACACATGCATGCTCACACATGCACCACTGCACACGGGTATGCACGCATGCACAGAGACATGAGCAATCCATCTTCTGGAACTCAGAGGGCTTCTTGATGAGGGTGTGGCTAGAAGTAGGAGACTGAGCTTTCTCCATCCAAGCTTGGTGCCCATCTGAATTTCCAAAGATGGAAGAAAGAGAAAGATGGCAAGCTCAAAACTGAATGCCCTTAGCCGGGTGTGGTGGCGCATGCCTGTAATTCCAGCGACTCAGGAGACTGAGATAGGAAGATCCCGAGTTCAAAGCCAGCCTCAGCAACTTAGCAAGGCACTTGCAACTCAGTGAGACCCTGTCTTTAAATAAAATATAAAAAAGAGCTGGGGAGGGATGTGGCTCAGTGACTAAGCCCCTCTTAGTTCAATTCCCAGTATGGGGCGGGGACGGGGGTGGGGGTGGGGTGGGGGTGGGGGTGGAATTGAATGCCTTGCCTTATCCTCCTGATTGGATCATTCTAGGCCTTACCCCCTCCCCAGGTCTCCTGATTGTCACCTATGTCAACCACTTGTGGCATGACAGCAGCTTGGCTCCCCTGCCTGCCTGTTCACCCATCTCCAACAGCACTCCCCTTCTGGGTCACTGCCACCTGCCAGAGGCTTGATCTCCTGCCTTCTGACCGTGATGCAGGGGATCCTCCAAGGCTACATTGACCCCACCCTGTATTCAGTTGGGATCTGGACTCTGTTCTATAAAAACACTCCCCAAATGTCGATGAACAGGGGAATGGAGCCAGGTGCAGCGGCATGTACCTGTAGACCCAACTACCTGGGAGGCTGATACAGGAGGATCACTTGAGCCCAGAAGATCTGGGTCAACCTGGGCAGCATAGGAAGACCCAGTCTCAACACAGCCAAGGGAATAAACAACACAAATAAAGTATGCCTGCAAGAGAATAGGACTCAACAATTAAACAAAGACAACAACACAGAATACTGGCACACTGAAAATAGTAACTGATCTGAAAAGCATGACAAAGAAGACACATACACACACACACACACACACACACACGCACTCTATAATTTCATTTATAGAACATTCTAGAAAATGCAAACTAACCTATAGTGACAGAAAGCAAATCATGGCTTGCTTAAGGATGGTTGTGGGGGAGGAGGTTAAATGAACCGCCTAGTACAGCCACTCTCAGGTTACTGACCCTCAGAAATTATGTGAAATAATAAACACTTGTTATAAACTGTTAAATTTAAGGGAAATTTGTTACTCAGCAACAGATCTGTGAAATTCACATTTACAAAATCTTAGGGTATTAAATAACAAGTATTCGTGAGAATGTGGAAATATTGGAATCTTTGTGTGCTCTTGGTGGGAGAGTAAAATGGTGCGGCCCCTGTGGAAGACAGTATAGAGGTTCTTCAAAACATTAAATAGATACCACATGATTCAGCAATTCCAATCCAGGACTTACACAAAAGAATTGCAAATGACAATTTAAGGAGATTGTACCCCCCACCATAAGCATAGCAGCATTATTCACAATAGCCAAGTGTAAACAGAATAATCAGAATGTGGTCCATCCATACAATGGGATTTTATTCAGTTTTAAAGAAAATTCTGCCAGGCATGATGGTGCACACCTGTAATCCTAGCTGCTTTGGGGAGGCCAACTCTAGAGGATCACAAATTTGAGGCCAGCCTCAGCAATTTAGCAAGACCCTGTCTCAAAATCTAAAAGTTTTTTTTTTTTTTTGCCAGGCATAGTGATACACACCTGTAATCCCAGTGGCTCAGGAAGCTGAGGCAGGAGGATTGTGAGTTCTAAGCCAGCTTTAGCAAAATCGAGGTGCTAAGCAACTCAGTTGAGACCCTGTTTTTAAATAAGATACAAAATAGTGCTGGGGTGTGGCTCAGTGGTTGAGTACTCTTGAGTTCAATCCCCCCCACCCCGTACCAAAAAAAATTTTAAAGTTTTTTTAAAAAGGGACCATAGTAAAGTGTGGCTGGATTCAATATTTAGTACCAGAGACAGGGAAGGAGATAAAAATAAATAAATAAATAAAATTTTAAAAAGATGGAAATTCTGATACATGTTACAATGTGGATGAACCCTGAGAACATTGTGCTCAGTGAAATCGGTCACAAAAGGACAAATACTGTATGATTCCACTTCTATGAGGTCCCTAAAATAGACACATTCATAGAAACAAAAAGTAGAATGGCGGGTATGAAGGCTCGGGGAGGGGAGGGAGAGTTAATTTCAAAATGAACAAGGGTCTGGCAATGGATGGTGGGGACGGATGCACAAGAATATAAATGTCTTCCATGCCCCTGAGCTGTGCACTTAGAAACTGGAGCTGGTAAATTCCACGTTATGTGTATTTTACCAATTTTTTAAAAGCTGGATATTACCATTAGGTAAATTGCCATAGGAATGGGATTGCGAAGTGGGAGCTTCCCATAGAACACTTGGAAGGCATTTTCAGGATTTGAGCTACAACCCAGCCATTCCATTCAGACATCTGCAACTGCAGCAGGTCCCCTGCAGTCCTATCAGTGTCCCTGAGCACTCTCAGTGCCCATGCCCAGGGAGGGCCAAAGGGCCAGAGAGCCGCCCCTCCATTCCCCTTCTCCAGAACAGCTCTCAATGACAGATGGGCTGGTGGCTAGATACTTCCAATTCCCTCACGTCTTTGGTGGAAGAACCTGGAGGTGTCTCCATCATCTCCTAGATTTCCCCCAGCAGAGTGGACTTCAGACTGCCCACAGCACTAACCTGCCTTTTATCCTCATTAACAATAAACTGGCTTCTTGCTCCTCCTAGTCTCACTTCCTCATTTCCCTACTGCTTTATCCCCAGGATCACCTGCCAGATAAACTATTTGCATCAAATTCCTCCTCTCCGCGGGTGAGGTTGGAGGAGATCAAACCAAGACAACCTTCCATTAATCACACATCCATCAATCAATTATTAATGCCTGCTGTGTCAGGCACCGTTCCAAGGGCCAGCAGGAAGCAAAAGCCAAGTGACTAGGGCTGGTACTCCACTGACTAGGATTCTTGCACAAGGAGACTAGCATTTGCATAGATTGCAAACAAACCTCCGGGGCATGGATCCCAAGGACAACCTTTCTGAAAGGTCTGAGCCTCCGGGAGGTCCTCGGAACACTTTTTCCGGGGCCACTGATTCAGCCTGATTTGTTATAACTACAGCACTTGTCGGAATCTGGCACTATCTTATTCCCGCAATTGTTTGTGTACTTAATGTCTGTCTAGAAAAGAAACTCTGGGTCTAGGATGTAGCTCAGCAGAAGAGTGGCTTGAGTAGCACAGGTGAGATCCTGGGTTGCATCACCAGCACCAAAAACAAAACAAAAAAACAAAGAATCTAATGAACACCCAAGAAGTTTCTGGACTGCCTGCGGTAGTACCCAGAGGGCCTTTGATTAGGCGAGCCCAGCTCTAAATGCCTCAGGCTGTCTCAGACATTTTCTTTTCCTCCATGGGGGAGGGGGCTATTGGGCTTTCCCTTGTGAAGGGATTTTTAAGACCAAGAGTAGATCAAAGTTCAGACCTGGCCGCCTCCAGGTCTAAGAGAGAGGTCTGCTTGATTTGCTATTCTGTGACCCAGGCCAGGCTCCCCACTAGGTGACAGCAAGGTTAGGGTGGTGGTGGGAAGGCAAAGTCTTGGTTTCCAGAAGTGGGGTTCCCAGACTAGAACTCCATTCCCAGCTACCAGAGTTCTCTGGCCCCTCCCTGCAGCCCCCAGGATCTGGGAGCAGCCTGCCCCAACTTCCCCGAGGGTGGGCCACAAGTCTGGACAAGGACAGTCAGGCTAGGACCCCCACTGGGCTGGCTGCTTTGGGCTAGGCCCAACTCCTACCCCAAAGCCAGAACAGAAGAGGGAAGCCCTCCCCTCTCCCCTGCTCCTCAAAAAGGAGCCATCTTCCATCTGAAGACTCTGGTCACCTGTGTCTTGGTCGGCTTCGAGGCCAACTGGCAGTGCCTCAAGTAAGGGTTGGGGGAAACATTTCCACCCATTGCTGACACCTGTCCAGAAAGACGACCATAATATAGTTTTGAGAGCCCAGGACTTCCCGTTTCCTCAGTTTCCCCCCTTGCAGCTGGACTGCAGACTCCTAAAGCCCCTCCGCTGGGGCCGGCTCTGCGCCCACCTGGGCAGAGCAGGATGGCGACCCCTCGCCTGTCGGCGATCGTGTGGCGCCCAGAGCCGGGTGGACCAGCGAGGCGGGCCGAGCTGTCCGGGGGCGGGGCGGGGCGGGGCGGGGCGGCTCTCCGGCTCCTGGCCCGCCCGCTCGCCCTGACTCACCCTGGCGAACCCGCCCGGGAACTCTGCGGGAGTCCGGGCTGCTCCGCTCCCAGAGACCCAGGAGTTGGGCCCAGCGTCCACCCCGGAGCTGTGAGTAAGGGGCTCTCCGCCCGCGGGCGTGGGATGACCAGGTGGGGGTCGGACTGGCGCTGGAATCCCGCGGAGGGAGGATCGCTCAGGTGCTGCAGACTCTGTGGCCTGGGCGGGACGTCCGGGACACACCGGGAGCTGGCGGGTGGGTGCGCAAACAGAGGCAGGCCCCAAGGTCGCCTGTCCTGGGAACCAGGCAGACCCAGCCAAGTAAGGAAACCTTCAACCGTCAGGGGTGGACCTTGGGGGTCGCGATCTCCATATCCTGTACTGGGGCTGGTGACTGAGAGGTCAGACAACTTGTCCCAGAGAGTTTCTCAAAGCCCCAGAGCCTTTCCACTGGGGGTCCGCACCAGCTGCTTTCTGAGATTTTTGAACTTCAACACTCCCCAGACCCCAAGTTCCTGCAAGGGAAGCTTGGAAACTGTGCTGGTGGGCTGAGTCCACAGGCTGGTCAGAGATCTGCTAAGTGGGCTATGCTCCCCCATTCCCCACCTCAAGTTCCCCTTGTGAAAAAAGCAGGAGTTGAACTTTGTGCTCTTCAAGGCTGAAAGCCTGCTGTTTCTTCCGGGCTGTGGGTGAGGAGGGGTCTGCCTCCCGCACCCCCCACCTCTACTCCAGCAGTAGGAAACTAAACACCACATCATGAGGAGCAAGAGGCCTGAGGGGCCCAGAGACAGGGAGCAGGAGTGAGGCCCAGGAGAGGGGCCTGGTGGTCCTAGATGGTGAGACCCCCATCCTGACCTTCTGGAACACCCCTTCAGGGTTCTTTTTGTGGAGATGCCATATCACTGTGGGAGGTGCCTTCCTGAGACAGAGCATTAAGGGCCGTCAAACAGACAGGTGAGGGGACTGGGATGGAAACCTTGACAAGTCACATCTCTCCTCCAAGTCTGGAAAACAAGAGCCCAGCACCCAAGCTCTCCAAGTTGGGAGAAATGACACATTGAGAACATCTAATGGCACACATTGAGTGTGGTCCCCATTGCCATTTTTTTCTGCCCCTACCCAAGTTCCATCAGCCCCTCTTTCTGGACTCTGCCACCAGCTCTGCTCAGACATGGGGGGGGGGGGCACCCTTGTGTCTGCGGAAATTTAATGGCAGGTTTGGGACCAACAGGTTTGAGTCATGGAGACGGATAATGATAATCCCCTGCATCCGCCTCCGATTTATCCGCCTCCCCTGGAGTCACTGAGAAGTCCAAGGGGACCCTGAGGGTTTCTGTCTTTTTGCCTGTGGTTGTACACCCAGGAGGGTGGGCAGGCAGGGGGTGAAATTTACATCAATGTGAGATGGGTCCTGAATGGTGACCAGGACAAGGAGTTGGTTCCTACCAGCGTATGTGGGTGGCATTGCTGCCACTGTCCCCTGCAAAGAAACAGCATTCCTCAAAGGCCACCCTGAGCGAGTGGCTGAAACTCAACACAGACGTTATAGCTCCCTTGTTCTGGGTCTTCCTTCTGCTCAGTGTGTACCCTCATACACAAATGTGTGTGCTCCAAAATGTCCCCAGGTGTCCCTTTTGAATGGCCACCATGTACAGTCATCCCCTGGGGTTGCTGAGCTGCTTGGGCTTTTCTCTGGATTAGATGCTACTGATGAAGGCTGGAAATATTCTTCCTTGGCTTTTGGTGTAGGCCTGGGAGTGTTAGTGAGCGTGGGGGATGGGCCACTGTGAGAGGATCCTGCACTCTGGGTGAATGGGGCGGACATGAGTGTCCATCATGTGCGGGAAGACCCTGGGCGCCTCCTTGCCTGCAGATCCCCCATATGAAGGTGGGAGCCTCAGAGGAAAGTGGTGAGGGACAGCCTGAGGGCTGGTGGGCAAACCTGCATTCTGTGTCATCATCCCCACCCTGACTTTATCACTCAGGAGTCATTACAAAACCTTTGGGGACTAAAAAGGGAGGCAGAGATGTGAGCACAGTTGGCTGAGGGATGAGACAAGAGCCAGGGCTTCCCTTCTCTACCTAATCCAGCCTTTGCCCAGTGACAGGATGGGGACAGGAGACTCTTAGAAGCCTGCTTAAGAGAGAGGTGATGGAGATGGGTAAGCTCCGAAGCTGGCAAGGGTGAGCTGCCTAGGGACCCCTGCGCTTCCCCGCCCCCAGCCGTGGCAAGTGGCTGCCTGCCTCAGAGGGTGACGTCCCAGCTTTGTGCCCCTCGCCCCCGTCTGTGACTTGGGCTGGCCAGACTGTATTGCAGTAATGATACCTTGGTCAAAAAGGAAGCCAGGGACAGAGGAGTGGGCCGGAAGCCAGGAGCCTGGCAGTGCAGCTCCCTGCCAGATGTAGGTGTCACCCGGGAGCATTCCACTTGTGGTCCTCCACCCTTGGCCAAGCCAACACTCCCCTCCCTCACAGAGCCCAGTCTCTAGTTTGTACCTCAGGTGCTGGGTTCAGCCCCCTTGGAAACTCTGGTGTCTAGGTCACACACCACCCCCAGGGCTGACTACCTTGGCTGGGCCACTCCCTAACCCCGGGGCCCTGGTAACCAGAGCAGAGCCAGGTTCCAGCCAGGTTCCAGCCAGGCTGCCAGCCGGCTTTTCAGGTTAGAGGTTGGAGGTGGTGCCCAGGAGCACCCCTGGAGGGGGTGGGGGACCCACACCCCGGAAGTCCTGAGCTGTGGGGCACTCTCCTGCCCGGTGGCAGTGAGATTCTAGGCTGGAGTCAGGCAGCCCCAAGTGGGTGTTTTGGGGCTTCCAGCATCAAGGGTGGGAGGGGCATGCTGGGTTTGGGGAGAAGGCCACATGGGAAGGCCGGGGGACAGGAACCCTGTGGACTGTCCCTATTGAGCTCTGAGAGGGCAGACAGAGTCAGATCAGGGCAGGAGAAACAGCAAGATCTGGAGCCCTGGCTCTGGGAAGGAGGTGGGGTCTGGCAGGGGGGAGCCTAAGAGGAGAAGCTGGGCACATGGCTCCTGTCAGGGAGCACAGGCTGTGTCTGCCCCCCTGCCAGGAAGGCACCCCTTCCTCATGATCTCTCTATACCTGTCTCCTTGTTTGCTGTAGGCAAGATGATCCCCGTGGCTGAGTTCAAGCAATTTACCGAACAGCAGCCAGCATTCAAGGTGCTCAAACCCTGGTGGGACGTGCTGGCCGAGTACCTCACCATAGCGATGCTCATGATTGGGGTCTTCGGCTGTACCCTCCAGGTAAAGGACCGGGCCATCGAGGGGCAAGGCCGCACTAGAAGCCTTCCTGTCAAGCCCTTGCCTGCCTGCAGACCGATTCTGGCCCCTTACCTCCCTTCCACCACTGGGGGTGGCCTCTGAGTCCTCCTGTGGTGTTCCCTGCTTTCACAACACTCTGTCTATCCCTGGAATCTAGAAAGAACTGCGGTTGCTGACTTTGGTAAGACTGTTGACATCAAGCAGCACAGACCGAGTGGCTTAAACACCAGAAACTTATTACGGTGCAGTTGGTTCTAGAGGGCAGTGGAGATCAAGGTGCTGAGGCAGCGGGGTTCCTCCAAGGACTGTGAGGGAGAATCTGTGCCCATCTTTCTCCTAGGCTTTGGCAGCCCCGAAATCTTGTGGCATTCTCCTTGTGTCTATGTCCAAATGTCCCCTTTCTATAAGGACACGGTCCTACTGGATTAGGGTTCGCTCTCATGGCCTCATCTTGATTACTTCTGCAAAGACCCTTTTCCAAAGAAGGCCACATTCACAAGGGATTGGAGGTTGAGGACTTCAACATCTTTTTGAGGGGAGGGACACAGTCCAACCCAACTCCTTTTTTTCAGACAAGGACCGATGTGGAGGTTTAGCACCCGCCCCCCCACAGTCAGCCAGCTGGTAAGGGTCTAGGACCAGGGTCTCTCACCTTCAGCCTGCTTCTGTCCCCTGCCCCCTGCTTCATGATCCCAACACTCTGCTTTGCCACCTCCTCATTCTCAGGTGACACAGGACAAGATCATCTGTCTGCCCAGTCATGAACCCCGGGAGAACTTATCAGAGGCTCCGTGCCGGCAACTATTGCCTCGGGGGGTCTCTGAGCAGATGGGAGGTCTCCGGCAGCTCAGCGGCCTCAAGAACAACCTGGACCTGCAGCAGTACAGCTTCATCAACCAGCTGTGCTACGAGACCGCCCTCCACTGGTACGCCAAGTACTTTCCCTACCTCGTGGTCATCCACACACTCATCTTCATGGTCTGCACCAGCTTCTGGTTCAAGTTTCCTGGCACCAGCTCCAAGATCGAACACTTCATCTCCATCCTGGGCAAGTGTTTTGATTCACCGTGGACCACACGGGCCTTGTCTGAGGTCTCTGGAGAGAACCACAAGGGCCCGGCTGCCGGACGGGCTGCAGCGATCGTGGTGACCACAGCGGGGACAGGGACAGGGAAGACAGGTGAGGGAGAGAAGGAAAAGGTGCTGGCAGAGCCTGAGAAGGTGGTGACTGAACCTCCTGCCGTCACCCTGCTGGACAAAAAGGAGGGCGAGCAGGCAAAAGCCCTGTTTGAGAAGGTCAAGAAATTCCGAGTGCACGTGGAAGAGGGTGACATCCTCTACACCATGTACATCCGGCAGACGGTGCTCAAAGTCTGCAAGTTCTTAGCCATCCTGGTTTACAACCTGGTTTATGTGGAGAAGATCAGTTTTCTGGTGGCCTGTCGGGTGGAGACCTCAGAAGTCACCGGGTATGCCAGCTTCTGCTGCAACCACACCAAGGCCCACCTCTTCTCCAAGCTGGCCTTCTGTTACATCTCCTTCGTGTGCGTCTATGGCATCACCTGCCTGTACACCCTCTATTGGCTGTTCCACCGGCCCCTCAAGGAGTACTCCTTCCGTTCTGTGCGGGAAGAGACAGGCATGAACGACATCCCTGACGTCAAGAACGACTTTGCCTTCATGCTGCACCTCATAGACCAGTATGACTCGCTCTACTCCAAGCGCTTCGCTGTCTTCCTCTCAGAGGTCAGTGAGAGCCGCCTGAAGCAACTCAACCTCAACCACGAGTGGACACCTGAGAAGCTTCGGCAGAAGCTGCAGCGCAATGCGTGGGGCCGGCTGGAGCTGGCCCTCTGCATGCTCCCTGGGCTGCCGGACACTGTCTTTGAGCTCAGTGAGGTGGAGGCGCTCCGGCTGGAGGCCATCTGTGATATCACCTTCCCCCCGGGCCTCTCGCAGCTGGTTCACCTTCAGGAGCTCAGCTTGCTCCACTCACCTGCCCGGCTGCCCTTCTCCTCACAGATCTTCCTGCGGGACCGCCTGAAGGTGATCCGCGTCAAATGCGAAGAGCTCCGCGAAGTGCCCCTTTGGGTGTTCGGGCTGCGTGGCTTGGAGGAGCTGCACCTAGAGGGCCTGTTTCCTCCAGAGCTGGCTCGGGCTGCCACCCTGGAGAGCCTCCGGGAGCTGAAGCAGCTCAAAGCGTTGTCCCTACGCAGCAATGCCGGGAAGGTGCCAGCCAGCGTGGCTGATGTGGCAGGGCACCTGCAGCGGCTCAGTCTGCACAATGACGGGGCCCGCCTGCTTGCCCTCAACAGCCTCAAGAAGCTGGTGGTACTGCGGGAGCTGGAGCTGGTGGCCTGCGGGCTGGAGCGCATCCCCCATGCCATCTTCAGCCTAGGTGCGCTGCAGGAGCTGGACCTCAAAGACAACCATCTGCGGTCCATCGAGGAGATCCTCAGCTTCCAGCACTGTCGGAAGCTGGTCACACTCAGGCTGTGGCACAACCAGATTGCCTATATCCCCGAGCATGTGCGGAAGCTCAGGAGCCTGGAGCAGCTCTATCTCAGCCACAATAAGCTTGAGACCCTGCCGACTCAGCTCGGCCTGTGCTTGGGCCTCCGGTTGCTGGATGTGGCGCACAATGGGCTGCGTTCCCTGCCACCCGAGGTGGGTCTCCTCCAGAACCTGCAGCACCTGGCTCTCTCCTACAATGCCCTCGAGGCCTTGCCAGAGGAGCTGTTCTTCTGCCGAAAGCTACGGACATTGCTTCTGGGGTATAACCACCTGAGCCACCTCTCACCCCACATTGCTGCCCTCAGGGCCCTCAGCCGCCTGGAGCTCAAGGGCAACCGTTTGGAGGCACTGCCAGGAGAACTCGGCAGCTGCACGGGACTCAAGAAGGCGGGACTGCTGGTGGAGGATACCCTTTATGAGGGTCTTCCTGCAGAGGTGCGGGAGAGGATGGAGGAGGAATGAAGACAGGGTGGAGAAGGTGGAGGTAGAGGCCTTTGGATGCTTCTGCCCCAGCAGTGTCTTCCATGAGAAAGGGCCACTGGGTCCAGCCAGGAGAGGAGAGGCAGACATGTCAGCTTTGTGGGGTCCAGGAAAGATCCTGGGACTGGTTTGTCTAGAGAGACACAGGAAGTTGTGGATTTGGGGTGGAACCCCATACAGAAGGATTAACTCAAGAATTCTCAGACAAAAGCCACACCTGTGTCTTTGGCTGTTTGGCATGCCCTCCCTCTGGACATTCCAGCTCAATTAGTGTCACATATGGGAGTGGGGACACATCCCGATGGGATTTCCAACCCTCCCACCACCAACAAAGCAGCTTACATCTGGGGTTCTCTCCCAAGGAGAGGACACAGACACAAGGGACCAGCTCCCCAACCTCCACCCCAACTTTGATGCTAAGTCTTTATTTATGAGTCCTTTGCTACAGACATGTGTACCAAGAACAATCGTCCTCCTATCTGGCTATGTGCCAGAATCAACTGAGGGGCTAGGACAAAACAGAACATCTCAGGCCCCACCCTTGAAAGACTCATTCAGGAGCTTGGGTGGGGGCCAGGGACCTGCTAATAAATAAGCATGCTAGGTAATTATGATGCAGGTAGTCCTAAGCCTCTATGATGGAAACACTAACCTAAAGAATAGCTACCTGAATGTCTAGATTCTGTGCCACTTTTAGATTCTGGCCCTTTGAGAACCCAGTGAAAGCTGGGCATCTCCTTCCTTAGGAAAAAAACGCTCCTATCACGCACATGCAAAACTCTGCAAGCCACCTCAGGCAGTTGACAGTTTCCCCCAGAGGACTATTCATGGACTTCCTAAGGTTGGCCAACACCTGCTGTGGCGTCTACATTTTTCTGAGGACAGGCAAGGGCTTTGTTTTTTGGATGTTCCCTGGGTGGGGGGACATGTACCTTTGGATGCTTAATAAATAATCATGATTCTGATCTTTTATGTACACTCCTGTTATTGTCTATATCAGATCAGGCGAGGTGGGCAGCCACCAAAGGAGGCAGATTTTAAAAGGCTGCTGAAAGAGGCTTTATTGAGATATCACTCCGGGGCAGGAGAAGGGTCTGAGGAGAAACCGCCTGGAAGCTTGATCAGACTGGACTTTTATGGGGCTTACAGCAGGAAGGGAAGGGCTTGGGACAGGAAAAGGTGTTTTTAGGGTCCCTTGCCCCCTTGGAGTTGGTCAGGGGAGTTGGCTGAACTCCAGGATTGGCCAGGGGATCCTGCTGATTGACAGGTGTTAGTCAGGAGATCTGGCTGACTGACAGGCGTTTCCGCCAGCAGGCATCTGATTGATGTTCCTTTCTGCACGGGCTGCTTTGTTCCAAGTCACCACCACGACCTAAGTCTAGACCTATTTCACAGAACTAAGTGGCTACACCTATCTGCCAGAATCAAGGATGCCTCTGTCCTAGGAGAGAGGCACCAAAGGGGCTCAGGAGGGCAAGGTAAAGACCTCCTCCCATTAGAAGAAAAAATCTGGTGGTGTCTTCTGCCTGGATGTTTTCCCAGAGAATCCCTTTCCTCTCCCTTCCCTTTTATCCTCTTAAATCCACATTTGAGTGACTGCTCCACCCTCAAGTCGTCACCAGGAGTCCGAAGCCTTCAAAGCCCATCCCAAGGTGTTGCCCGTGTTGGACTCCAGAATGAGTAGGGCACTTGGCACAGCTTCACCTCGTGGGTTTGGCCACTTGCCAAGTGTCTGCAAAAATGCAGATTTTCCCCTGGCACCTTAGAGCAGACACAAGCTGCTATTGAGGGACCCAGGGCTTCAGACAGGGGCATTTCCCCAGCACCCACCTTACCCCTTAAAAGGATCTATTTAGGCTGGGGGGCGGGGGGGGGGCATCAGACAGAAGCACGTAACCCCAGGGCCCACACTAATTCTGGAGGTCCTGAAGCGGGACAGATGGGGGTGGGACTTCTGAAGGTCCCACGCTAGTGTGGCCAGGAATTTTGGCCTTGACCTTGGCCCTGTCATCGAGGTGAGAAGTCACAAGGCTGGATTTCCAGAGCCCTTGCCTCCCGCCAGGTCTTGTCCAACCCTGAGCTTGCTGGGACTAGTTGAAATGGAAAGGGCTTCCCACGGATGCATAATTATGGTGAGGAGGCCGCACCGCACGCCAACGGGCGTTCAGTCAGCAATTAAGCATAACAGGATCCTAATGAAGCACTGAGGAGGAAGCCAGTTCCGTGAGGGTGCGGCTGCCAGGACCCGACTCGGGGCGGGAAGAGCGAGGAGATGAAAACGCACTGCTACGGCAACCACAGGAGACAGACAGCTGGTGCACTCGCTCAGTAGAAGCCAAGCGCGCGACCGCGTCTCCACCTCTTTACGCATGTGCGCCGTTTACCCCACACACCGTTCACTAAATAAACGTGGGTTTACACACAGCGCCTCTTGGCGGAGCGCTCGGGAATTTACGCATGCGCACCCCAGTGGTAGTGGTGCGCGGGTGTGTTGCACGTTGCCCGCCGCGAGCTCTAGGAGGCGTTCTCCCTGGGTTGAGACTAAATACGCACGCGCGGAGTTTCGCACGCGGGCAGGGCGGGTGCGCGCCGCGGGCATGCGCCATCCAGGGAGAGACGGCGGCTCGGCGGGGTCATCCGGGCGCAGGCGCAGTGCGGTGTTTGTCTGCCGGACTGACGGGCGGCCCGGCAGTGCGCGGCGGCGGCGGCGGCGGCGGGGAAGATGGCGGCGTCCTCCCTGGAGCAAAAGCTGTCCCGCCTGGAAGCAAAGCTGAAGCAGGAGAACCGCGAGGCCCGGAGGAGGATCGACCTCAACCTGGATATCAGCCCCCAGCGGCCCAGGCCCAGTAAGCACGGAGGCGTGGGGGAGGGGCAGGTGGGGCGGGGCGCGCGCCGCGGGAGGCCCCGCCCCCGGGACCAGGCCCCGCCCCCGCTTCCGGGGCGCTCGCTGTGCTCCTCCCCGCCCCCGCTGTCAGCCCGCAGGGAGAGGGTCACGGTGACCCGGGGGGCGTGGGGCCGGCGGGTTCCCGAGCGGCCGTTCCCAGGGCCTGGGGGTTCCTTCTTTGGGGGTCTGGGAGCTAGTTACCAGGCCGCAGGCCAGGCCTCCGTACCCATTGACCCGCCCCCATCGCCGCGGTCACCGGAGCATCTGTCACCTGCACTGAACTACACCCGTACCCACGCGACTGTTATCCCATCTGGGCCCCCGGCAAACGTGGTCATGTCCCAAAAGGATTCCCGTCAGTCCCTCTGTAGCAGTGACTGTCAAGAGTTCCACTGTCCAGCCTTGCGTTTAGCTGACAATCCTTTAACACTCATAGTCACACAGCTGGCCTGGGAACACCCGAGGTCATCCCACACACACACATATAATCCTTCTAACTCCATTCTCCCATTTGACACCATGACTATATCAGGTGGTCCTTTCTTCCCAGCCTGGGGTGACCTTGTCATTGGGCTCAGTGACCCCCTCCCACATAAAACAGGCCTCCCCATGCCCCTGTGACTAACTTCAGTGCCACTCTCTTGGTGAGATGTCTAGCCCTCTGGAAATACACACCATCTCCTAGGGTGGTGACTGTCTTCTGGATTCAAATGACTGTTTCCCTCAAAACACACACACACACACACACACACATACACACACATACACCAGGCCTGGACAACTGGGTAGGTCTAGCTCCCCAGTACACAAATGCCTCCTTTCTGATCTATGCCTTCCTCCCTGGCATCTTGTCCTGGATCAACAGCTGTCTTCCAAACCCTTCACACACACCTGGCCTGGGATAGTATAGCCTTCTCATTGTGTTTCACAAATACCCATCTCCCAAGTCTTTTCAGCTGGAAGGAATTGGATTTTTCTCCCTCCCCATGGACTCTGTGACTGGCCCCCTCCTCATGATGACCCTTTCTGTCTCTCTTTTGACCTAGCAAAAAAAAAAAAAAGTTGTCATATTCTCTTTGGTATGACCCTGGAAGTTATATAATTCCTTGTCAGGTTGACAGGAGGAGGAAGGTACCCCCTGATATCTCAGAATTCTGTCTACTACCTGGTCACTGTCGCTTGACCTTCAAGTCTTACCCTCCCTCAGTCCCTATTTAGAGTCCATCCATCTCTCTTTAGACATGGGTTGGTTCGGTTTCCTCCCTGGGGAATCTCTTGGGGGCCCAGAGAAATCCCAGAGGTGAACATACTGTCTTTGGATGTTATTGGGGACTGGAAGCCTGGCCAAGACCAGTAAGGTCCCTGCTAGGTCCTGCAGGACTGTTGTATCCAGCCCCAGCATAAATGAGACAGGATTGGTTATGGGTTCCAGGGTACCTTAAGAGTGGCTGTTCCCAGTGCAGAACAAGGCCCAGTGAGGCCCATGGCGGGCAGGTCCCAAGGAGTCCCCCCCAGGTGTCTGTGTCTGTCAGCTCCATCCCATCCTCCCCACCTTCCCATCTCTGTCAGTTTCTACCCATCTCTGCAGTTTGGTGCCTCGCGTCTCCCCTCCTCCTCATTATGATTTGATTTCTTTTCTTTTGGACAAATCGGCCATTTCTGTTGTGATTTATCGTGGTGTTGTTTTTTTTCTTCCTTTCCCATCCAGTTATTGTGATCACTCTAAGCCCTGCTCCTGCCCCGTCCCAGCGAGCAGGTACCAGCCTTTTTATCATCGCCGCTTGGACATCTGCACCATTGACCTAACCGCTGCCCTGGCCGCAGAATGCCATCCCCCTAGCCCCATGCTTCATGTGTATGTTCTGTCTCCTCTTCTCACTCTTACTTTCTCTGAGTCCACCAGAGCAATGTGGGCCCAGCCCCATCTTCCTCTGTCCTCTCATCCCTCCCTCCTTCCTCTTGAGCTCAGGTTTGGACTCCCTAGAGGAGGAAATGGGCTCCCCTAATGAGTGGAAGTCTGTTGCCCACTGAGGGGGTGAGTGTGTGTGTGCGCGTGCGCGTGTGCGTATAATGGAGAATGTGAGACCAGGTGAGTGCTTTATGCCTGTTTGGTCCATCTCAATAATTGGATGAATGAGTATTGCCCCTGTGTGCTGTGCCTGCTCTCAGTACCAGGGATACAGCAGTGAACAGAACAGACCCAGTCCCTGTCCTGTGGAACTGAGGATGCAGTGGAGAGCCATCAGTGGACAATGAGCACATTCCTGGTTAGGGAGAACATTCTAGCTGGGAGACAGGCTCTGCATGGGCTGGCTCAGGAAAAGCTGCTGGAGAAGATAGGATTTAAGCAAGGTGTCAGGGAAAGAGGCAGAAGGGGACAGCCCTGCAGATGTCCCTGCTCTGGTGCCAGCATGTTTGGGAGTAGACATAATGGGCAGTTGGGCTGTGCTGGTTCCTGGGTATGGTGTGGCCCTGTGTGTAGGAGAGAGCACCTGTGTTGGCAGAGGTGGGGTCTGCTTTGTAGGTGGGTGTGTGCGTGTGGCTGGTGGGACTGTTGTATGTTCTCAATGTTGTGTGTGTGTGTGTGCAGATGTGTCAGAGGAAAGGGGGTGCTGGCTCTGCCTGTCTGCATGTGGTGGGGAGGTCATGCCATGCTGTGTTGTGTGTGTGTTCGTGTGCACGTGTGTGCACTTGCATGTGAGTGTGCGTGCATATTGTGCTGATGGCTTGCACATCTAAGGCTCCTCTTGGTTTTCTGTCACTCATTCTCACCGTCCCTCTCCCTCTCACCCTCTTGCATTTACTCTGTCCACATCACCACGTGGCACCCCCTCTGTGATCTCTATTCTCGGGCCTTCGTGTGTCTTCCTTCCCCACTCCAGCCCACCTCAGATTCCTACCATGCTGCATTTTCTGGGGCTGGCAGCCCTGGAGGGCTGGTGGACTGTTCAGGGAAGGGGACTGCTTAGGGCACCTGGGGGCGTGGTCCTCACCCCAGAGAGCTGATGATACTGGACAAAGGGGGCCCAAATAGTTCTAGGGGCAAGACCTGTGTGGTTCCTAGAGTGACCGCTCATGGGGTTGAGAGCCGAATGTGAGGGAACACAGGTACCCTCAGGTGCCACCAAGGAATCAGGACTGTGACAGGACGGAGCAGAGGCACAGAGAAATCAGAGTCTGTGCAGTCATGAGCAATGGGAGGTGAGGATAGTGAGTGCTGCCCCAGCAATGCCCCCACGGCCCTTTCTTGACTCCAGCTCGGCTCTGGCAGGACTTGCATCCTTTGGTGGACTTTGAGTCAGGGTCCTCTGCATGCCCTCTCACTGGCTAAGGTCAAGGTCCCGGGCCAGCCGGGTCAGGAAAGGGCCTCGTTGACAACTGGAGCATATTTGTCTTTCTCTGCCCATTGGTCACTGGGCCCAAATGGCAAGGCAGGGGATATGAAAAGGGGAGGGGACATCTGTGGCGGGTTTTGGGAGAGTGGCAGGTTCTGGGATTTCCTGGGAAGGTGACCCTTGGAGGGTTCTTATAGCCAGTTGCCAGAGGTAAGCAAGCTTGTTACCCTTCTGGGGCACCAGGTCCTCTGGAGTGTGAAGGGTCCAGGAGCCACACTGGCCTCCCAACCCCTGCTTCCCACCCCTTGACAGACCAGGCAGGGAGACCCTTATCCTCAGGGAACCTGCTCTGCTGTCCTGGGCCCCTCTCTGGCCTGTCTCTGCAGTGCCTCCTCTATACAGCTGGGCCCTAAGTCTTGGCTCCTGTCTATCTGTCTGTCTCCTGCCCTCCCACCTCGTAATGCCGCCTGCCCGTCCTGGGTGCCTGCTGCCTACCTACCTGCCTGCCTGCCTGCCTGCCTGTAGCATGCCCCAGCTGTCCGCATGCAGGCCACTGGACAGCACCAAATCCCCTCCCTGACCCTGTCCCCAACCCTGCCCAGCCTTACCAGCCTCTGGAGGAGCTGTGCCACCCAGATCTCCTTACCTGAGGGTACAGGCCTACAGGCCCAGCTTGGAGTTCTGCCCCTGGCCCCTTGGCCTCAGCTCTGTAGGCTTGACTGGGAGGCACCTGCTGGCCAGAGGGTGGCTCTCCCTAACCCTGGAGCAGAACATGGGGCAAGGCAGCAAGAAGCCAGGGGCCTGTGCCCACTGTCTCACCAGGGTGGTCTACCTCATTCTTGTTTGGCTGCCTAATGCAGTGCTGGTGGCAGGGCCAGGACCCAGGCTGGTCCTGGGGAGTAGTCCATCCTCGCATGAGCCACTGTGGGCACTGTGACTCTGGGCCCGTTTCCTGGCAGAGGGGAGAAAGGGATGTGTCAGGGAGGTTGCCTGGCCACAGGTCCCTACCAGGTCCCCACCTCACTTCTTTGTTATCATAGACTTTGGAAAAAACCCCAGCCTCTGGGGACCACCCTCTCCCACTAGCCTACCCCATCCTTCTAGGACAGGGGGCAGGAGAAGGCACCCTAAGGATGGCCCCAGCCAGCAGGGCAGGTGGCTGTGTCAGCCTGGCTGAAGAGTACGAGGGAGGGGAAGATGAGGGTCCCTACCTATCCCCAGAATGTCAGGCCTGGAGCTGAGACCAGCTGGGTGCTGACCCCCTCCCTGCTTCTGGTTCTCAACCCCCCAGCCCTGCAGCTCCCGCTGGCCAACGATGGGGGCAGCCGCTCACCGTCCTCAGAGAGCTCCCCGCAGCACCCCACGCCCCCTGCCCGACCCCGCCACATGCTGGGGCTCCCGTCAACCTTGTTCACACCACGCAGCATGGAGAGGTGAGCTGTCAGAGCAGGCTGGCAGGGGGTCAGGGCCCATTCAGCAGGGCAGCATGGGGAGTGTTGCTGTGCCAGCCCCGGTGAGAGGGTGGTGAAGTCTGGGGAACACTGGTGTGCGGGCTTGGGTTGCTTCGGGTTGGTTAGGAACCCCTTCACCAACTCCTGCTCCCTGTCCCCAGCATCGAGATTGACCAGAAGCTGCAGGAGATCATGAAGCAGACGGGCTACCTGACCATTGGGGGCCAGGTACCTCCCTTGCTCAGCATCTGGGCGGAGGAGGGCAGGATACGGCTGGGCCAGGGGGTGGGGGTGGGAGGACAAGCCCTGGGGACCCTCCAGCCTTGTTCCCTCTCCCACCTGCCAGCGCTATCAGGCAGAGATCAACGACCTAGAGAACCTGGGCGAGATGGGCAGTGGCACCTGCGGCCAGGTGTGGAAGATGCGTTTCCGGAAGACAGGCCACATTATTGCTGTCAAGGTGAGTGCAGTCCTTGCCTTTTGGATCTCTGTCTCATTCTCTGCGTCCCTGGTGCTAAGGTTCCCTCCTGGCCATCCCTTCTTGCAGCAAATGCGACGATCGGGAAACAAGGAAGAGAACAAGCGCATCCTTATGGACCTGGACGTGGTGCTCAAGAGCCACGACTGCCCCTACATTGTGCAGTGCTTCGGCACCTTCATCACCAATGTGAGCAGGTTCTTGACTGGCCCGGCCCATGGGGAAGCCTCAGGGTGCCCTTTGCCCCCACAGGGTCCTCTTCCCTGGGGATCAGAGCATGACTGGGGTGGACAGGAAGGCACAGTCACCCCAAGCCACATGTGCCACCCCTCCCTCTGCAGACAGATGTCTTCATCGCCATGGAGCTTATGGGCACATGTGCCGAGAAGCTTAAGAAGCGGATGCAGGGCCCCATCCCTGAGCGGATCCTGGGCAAGATGACAGTGGCGGTGAGCTGCAGGCCAGGGCTCATGTGACTGGGTTGACGGCCCCAGGCCATGTCCCCCCTTCACAGGAGTCTTCTGCTGTCCATGCTGCAGATCGTAAAGGCACTGTTCTACCTGAAGGAGAAGCATGGCGTGATCCACCGCGATGTTAAGCCTTCAAACATCCTGCTGGATGAGCGGGGCCAGATTAAGCTCTGTGACTTCGGCATCAGCGGCCGCCTGGTGGACTCCAAGGCCAAAACACGGAGTGCCGGCTGTGCTGCCTACATGGCGGTGAGTTGGGAGCCTGTGGAGCTGGGAAGGTGGAATGGGGTCTGAGACACTGGCCCCTATCCTGAAGGTGCATCCTTTTCTCCCTCCTGGTAGCCTGAGCGCATTGACCCCCCGGACCCCACCAAGCCTGACTATGACATCCGAGCAGATGTATGGAGCCTGGGCATCTCATTGGTGAGCTGGGACCCTGCCTCCACCCTCAGGCTGGGAGTAAGGAAGCAAAGGAGGGCAGGATCTCCTTCCCCGCCAGTCCAGCCCTGCCTGTCTCCCTGTCAGGTGGAGCTGGCAACTGGACAGTTCCCCTACAAGAATTGCAAGACGGACTTTGAGGTCCTCACCAAAGTCCTACAGGAAGAGCCCCCACTCCTGCCGGGTCACATGGGCTTCTCGGGGGACTTTCAGTCCTTCGTCAAAGACTGGTGAGCATCCCTACTTGCCCTGCTCTTCTGCTCTGGGAGGCCTCAGGAAGCCAGGCGTGGCCCATTGCTCAGGGCTGCTAGAGAAGGCTGGCGTAGGAAGAGGAGGGAGAGGCCACCCAGGGATGGTACTTTGGCAGCTTCAGGCCGGCTACAACCAGGGGCTGTGCCAGGAGTTGAAGCTGGTACAGAACCATGAGCTGGGTTTGGACCTGTTGATACCTGGCCCAATGGGTATTTGGTGGTCAGTGGGCTTTGCCACAGGATATTGTGAATGAATGGTGCTGCTTCGGGGCCAGCAGCCCTAAACACTGTACCTTAGCAAGGAGAGTAAAGTCTTCAGGAAATCATGTACCAGTCTCCTGGGAGCCCACCCAACTCTCTAGTAGGAACCTCCCATTCTAATTCTAGGTCCCAGGCCAGGCCTTACAATATGTCCTGGCTGGGAGACTTCAGGGATACACAGCTTGGCAGGTCCCAGCCACGAACAGATCTGGAAGACCCCTGGCTCACCAGAGAGGGCTTACGCGGGGAGGCAGCCCAGCCTGCCCCACCAGACTCTCACCTCCCTCCCCTTCCTCCTCTTCCTCCAGCCTTACTAAAGATCACAGGAAGAGACCAAAGTATAATAAGCTACTTGTAAGTACGGTGGCCCTGCCCTGCCCTGCCATTTGGGAACCCAGCCCCCCCCAAGCCGAGGCCTGGAGGAAAATCCCCTCATCCTAAGCCCCGCCCCTCGGGTCCACAGGAACACAACTTCATCAAGCGCTATGAGACGCTCGAGGTAGATGTGGCATCCTGGTTCAAGGATGTCATGGCGAAGACAGAGTCACCGCGGACTAGTGGAGTCCTGAGCCAACATCACCTGCCCTTCTTCAGGTAGCCACACGGTGGCTGCCAGCCCCACAGGGGCCAGGGGCATGGCTATAGGCCCCCCTTCCCCACTTGGCCACCCAGCTGCCCGCCAGGGGAAACCTGGGTTCTGGACGGCCACTGAGGGCTGAGGACAGAAAGTAGGGGACACCCATCACCCCTGACTCCCTGCCCACCAGCCGTGGACAGATGGGCCTACTGGTCCCCAGCCCTCCCCACCCTGGGGTCAGCCGGTGACAGACACTGTGAATGGAAGACAGCAGGCCGCCAGCAGACTCGCTATTTATTCAGTCGAAACCTCTGGGCTGGGCAGTCCCCAGGGGCCAGGAGAGAGCTCCCACATCTGCACCCCACACTTCCAGCACCTGCCCTCCCTCTCCCTGACATGTGCTTGCTCTCCATATCTCTCTGCCCTGTTCCTCTCTACCCCTCTGTCCCTGTCTGGCTTTCCCCAGTTCCTTCTAGTCCCCTGCTTCTCTCCTGGCTCAAGCCTGGGCTCGGACACCCCACCCCTCTGTGGGAGCTCTGGGTCTACCTAGGCCTCCTTGAGTCCTCACCCCAGGATGGCGGAGTGGTCATTGTGACTGCAGCCGGACCAGGACTGGTTTCTCTCTCTCTTTTCTCTTTCTCTCTCTCTCTCTCTTTGATCTCAGGGGGTCCTTTTTGGAGTTTATTGTATTTTATTGTACTTGGTGGGGTGTTGGGGGGAGGGGGATGAGGAGAGTGTGTCCTCATGGGGTGTGTCGGTACCTTCAGAAACTTTTACCAAAGTCATGTTTAGCTGCTTGTGCTGGGGCCTCCAACTGCTCTCTGGCACTGGGGGGGCTGGGACTGGGGGCTGAGCCAAAGGGGCCTGGGCTACTGCTCCTGGTGGGTCCCAGGCCCAAAGAGGCCAAATACGGGCTCTGGGGGTTCCTCCACCCTTGAGGCTGGAGGCTGGCCGCAGCTTGGGGGTAACTTGAGAGCTTAGGCAGTGGAGGGAGCCCAAGGGGCCTCGGCCATGCAGGATGGCCTTCAGGGAAGGTGGTGAAGGGTGTAGTAGGGAGCAGCGGGCATCAGGGAGGTGGCTGGAAGGCAGGAGTGGGGCCAGGGAGCTGGGGGAGGGCAGGAGGAAGTCAGGATTGAGGGCAGAGGGAGCGGATGTGGAGGTTTGAGGACGTGACAGGGACAGGGATAGGCTTGGCTGGAGTGTCAGGGGAGAGCAGGCCAGGGTGTGGGAGTGTCGAGCCCCTGAGCAACCCTCAGCTTGCCCGCTGGAGCTGGCCAGCCCCCAGGCCACCTTGAGGCCTGGGATGGGGAAGGACTGGGCCAGTGTGTCCTGCCCCCAGCCCACTGCAGCAGCCAGAGCAGGATGGGTGTGTTTCCTTTTTGTTGGTGATGCATGCAAATCAAGTGGACAAGAAAACAAACAAAAAAGAAAAAAAAATTAAATCACAAACATAAACCAACCAACACCAAAGGTGAGGAACCTGGCTGTGCGCAGCTGAAGCAGCATAGGCCTAGACAGCCGGGCCTCTGACCTGTCTGTTGACTCATTACACTATTATATTCACACATGCCGCATGTTTAAAACGAAATAGAAGTCACCTTCTCTCTGCCCCCCAGGGAAGGCACCTTCATCTCCTTTGTGAGGGGATGGGGGCGCGGGTCAACAGGCCTGGCCCCTGCCTTTTCGGGCAGCTGGGCAGCTGGAAGGGCCCTTGGCTGGTCCCACAGCCAGCACAGGCCTGAGGCTGGGCTGCCTGGGTTTGTTTTTATTTAACTTTATTTTCTGTTTTGTGTGTGTCCACCCATGCCCTCCCTTCAGTGTTGAGTGGGAGCTCCGGGGAGTCGCTCCTGCCTCCCTGCCTCCCAAGACTTCCCCTCCGTCACCAGCCGTCCCTCTGGACCAGAGGACAGTCGGGTGGGCAGGGTCCTGGGGTGGCCTGGCCCAGCCCACCGGCCCAAGAACCCCTTCTCAGGCCACCAGTATTGCCCTGTTCCTTTTTAAAATAAAATGCCCTCGTTTGTAAATCCTTAGACGCTTGAGAATAAAACCCTTCCCTTTTCTTCTGAGTCTGTCGTGTCATGGGGCTGGTAAGACCTGGGAAGGGGCCAGAGGAGGGGCGCCATTCAGGTGGATGAGACCCCTGCATTGGGGGAAACTGAGGCAAGCTTGGGAGGGGGTATTTGTAGTGACTCACTGAGTATCAAGTGGCCTTTGTGAGGTCCAGGTACCCCTTCTCCCCAGTGATCTGGAGCCAAGCAAGAGAGAAGCCCCTAATCCCTGTAGGCCTTGGACACCAGCTCTGGTATCAACCCTCAGTCCTCCACCCCCGCTCCCTGCTTTCCAGGGTGGCAGCCCATCCAAGGCCAGGGTTGCCTGCCCACCTGCTGACCTGAGAACAGCCCAAGTAGGGGCCACTGCTGCTGGCCCTGCAGTGCTCCCACCTCAACCAGTGCAGCATGCTGGGCACCAGACTCCTGCTGCTGGCTCTGCTCCCAGGGACCTCCCCCTTGCCTGGTGGGCCGATTGGTATGTAGAGGCTCCGGGCATCCTGGGTGGGTCACGCTCTCATTCCCCTGTTGTTACTTTTCAAGACCTCTGCTTCTGGCGATGGGGGGTCTGGCTCTATCCAGGCTGGCCATCTTCACAAGCCCCAGGAGCCACTATGAGGATCAGGGCTGGGGGAGTGGAACCTTCTTTACAAATGCTTTTTGGAAGTGGGTGTGCAGATTGTATTTGACAGGGACCCCACAGAACGTTGTGAAAGTACTGAGTGTGTGCAGGGTCACAGGATAGGAGACCCCTTTCTGCTGTCCTGTGCTGCTGCTGCCTTCAGCCTGGGAGCAAAGAGCCAGAAGCAACAAACAAAACCCCAGACTCTGGCCGTCTGGCCGGACTGTGTGCCCTGAAAAGCCTCGGGAAGGGCACCCCTGTCACCACTTTCCCGTTGGCGACTGCACCGACCTTTTGGGGAACAATACGACCGACATCTCTAACGAGCTGCCTGGGTGAAGGGAGAGACCTCTGACTTCACCCAGTTGACCCTCCGCCACCAGGCGCTCCTTGTCCCTCCTCCACCCCGCTCTGCAGAGGGAGAGAAAGAGGTCTCCCCAGGGGCGCGCAGCCCTGCGCCCTGCCTGGACGGCTGGCTGTTAAGCTCCGGGGCTCACGGGGGCTGTCTTAGTAACTCCCCGCTGTCAGAGAACTTAGGGAAATCCGGAACCAGAGCCGCGCAGGTCCCTATTCGGAAGAAGGCAGTGGGTGGGGGGCAGGAGGTCGGGACACTTTCCTGGAGGGTTTAAGGGAATGCGTCTTCCTCCTCTGTGCTGCCCTTTTCCCGCTCCCGCCAGCGCCCGCGTTCCCCGGGGGACCTGGCCCCTGGCTGCGCAGGCCCCTTTTCAGCCTGGAGCTGTCTGACGCAGAGGACGCCTTCCCGCGCCGCGCGGGGCCGCTCGAGGTCCCGGCAGATAGCCGCGTGTTCGTGCAGGTGCGGACCTTGGTAGCACCCAGGGCAGGTGGGTACAGGCGGGAACCGGGCGACCCTGATGGCACCTCTGTCCCTCAGGCGGCCCTGGCCCGACCCTCCCCGCGCTGGGGCCTGTCCCTGCACCGCTGCTCAGTAACGCCGTCCTCACGCCCGGCCTCCGGGCCTGCTCTGGTGCTGCTAAGCGGGGGCTGCCCTGCTGACGCCTCGGTAGCTTTCCCGCCACCGTCGCACCCCGATGCGACCCGCCCCGCACGCTTCAGCTTCCGGCTGCGCCCAGTGTTCAACGCCTCGGTGCAGTTCTTGCATTGCCAGCTGAGCCGCTGCCGCCTCCTCCAGGGAGTCCGCCGGACGCGGGAGGCTCTGACCTCGCCGCCGAAGAAACTGCGGGTGCGGAGAGTAAAGCCGGAAATTTGGGCGCTGGGGACCCTCTGGGAGCACAAGCGTCTCAGGCAGCCAGAGAGAAGCACCTCGGGGTTTGGGCATCTGGGTATTAGGGTCTCTTGGGATCTGGGGCAAGAATCCCTTGAGGGCAGGGGTTTGGAACTGGGGTCTCTCTCTGGCTGGGTGCGCTAGATGCGGAGACCCCCCCCCCCCGCCCCAGGGACCCGATGAATTCCTCGTGGGGGAAATGAAATGGACACCGAATCCCCTCTGGATTCAGACTGGATGCAGAAGCCTGCAAAGGGACCAATCTGTGGCCCTTGAGGTCGGGCTCCACAGGTTAGGTGCTGAGAGCCGGATCTTAAGACTAGAGCGCCTGACATCTGACATCTTCTCCGGTGGGGCCTGGAACCCTAAGGCTGGATTTCTAGAGGGTCTAAAGGTGGCCTCCTGGCTGCGGTGGGGAACTGGATGCTTAGGGGCTACGCCCCCCCACCCCCGCAGGAGCGGTTACTGGGGATTGAATCCAAGGGTGCCTTACAACTGAGCTACATCCCCCCCCCCCCCCAACCCCTCAGCCAAGGTCCCCCCCCCGAGGTGCCGCGGGTGGCCTCAAACTTGCAATCCCTCCCGCCGGGGCTCCGTAGTCGCTGGGATTATTCCGTACCGGGCGCTTAGGTGTCTTCAGAGAGACTTGAGGACCAGACCCGGGATCGCCGACCTGACGTCCCTGTTTCTCTCCCTCCCGCCAGTGTCTGCCCCAGGATGAGGCATGCGCGGGCGTTGGCAGCGGCAGCGGCAGCGGCAGCGGCGAGAGCCTGGGCGCCGACAGCCCCCACCTGCACACGCTGACGCAGCCTATCGTGGTCACAGTGCCGCGGCCGCCCCCCAGTAAGCACGCCGGTGCCCTGGGGCCGGGCAGGGCAGCACAGCAGCGCCCCGGGCCCCGGCTTAGCGTTGCACTCTCCCACAGGGCCGCACAAGAGCCTCCCGGGCAGGGCCGTGCTCCCCCAGCCGCCCGCGCCGGCCCCGGGGGCCCTGGAGCCCGCGCCTGTGGTGGCGCTGGTGTTGGCGGCCTTCGTGCTGGGCGCCGCCCTGGCCGCCGGGCTGGGCCTCGTCTGCGCACACTCAGGTACTCCCAGCCTATTCCCAACGTCCAGACCTGGGATCGTACGGATCCCAGCCTGCGAGGCCTCAGGCTTCCTAGATCTGCCTCCGCTATGCCCCAAGCACCCCCCAGGGGGCGCTCTTACCCTGGCTCAGGAGCCTCTTCCTTCCAGCGCCTCCACTCCCAAGCCAGCCAACTAGAGCTTCGCCCAGTGGCCCTCAGCCCCGGAGGCCCCAGTGAGGCAGGTAAGTGTGTGTGGGGCGATCTGGAGGAAGAGCTGGAGAAGGAAGGTGATAATGACCTTTCATAGAGCTAACTCTAGCGGCAGGCATGGCTCTGAATGTTTTACACACATTAATCTTTCAAATAACCTTCAGGTGGCTATTATAATCCCCACTAGAGAGGAGGAAAATGAGGCCCCGAGGTCTAGTAACTTGCCAAAGGTCATAATGTTTGGTGGAGCCGGGACTGGAATTCATGGACTGGGATCACTGAGGTGGACTGTGGGGTCTGGATGGAAAGGTCCTCAAGCCTTGGACAGGTACTAGGCAAGGGATTTGGGATTCAGACCCAGTTTCCACTCTCCCCGCCACACAAACTGATATAAGGCCAACGCCTGCTAGGAAGGGGGTGCGTAGTTTCCCCACCTTCGCTCAGCCTGCTCCACTCCTCCCCAGCGATGGAGCCTTGCCTGCAAGGGGCACCCAACCATGGGTTCAGGAGTAGGCTCTCCAGGACCTGATCCGCAGTTCTGGACACCACACTTTGGGGCCTCGATCCCTGTGCTTCTCTCCTTCCTTCCTCCCACCCCCGCTCCCATCTGAGCTCAAAATAAACTTCTGGACTGATCCGCTTGAGTTCTGGTGGGGTCAGTGTGTGTACGGCGCGGGGGACAGGCTTGGGCTTGTACCTGAGACTAGAATTTGCGGGGGAGGGGATTGGGCGGAATCCTATGCCCATACACACGTGTGCTGGGGAGTCAAGGGCGATTCGTTCTAAACAAAAAGTAACACTCAACACTGCCATCTTAAGTTTAACATAAACTCCGCCTTCTCCCACCCCCACTCTGCAATCCTTCGCTCTCCCCCAAACCGGACCGTCTCTGCTGTCCACTTGCACCGCCCGGATCCTGCCTTAGCTCCATCCTCGACCTTCTGCCGCTGCTCGGTTCTCCTGGCTGAGCTGGTCTCCATCCTCCTCCGAGGATCCATCAAGTCTAGAATTCCTTAAATTCCTTCTCTGAGTTCCTCCCTCCCCTGCGCAAAACAAAAGTAGGAATATTAGCCCCGGCTTAGAGAGGAGAAAACTGAGGCTCGGCAGCCTAAGCCACTCGCTCAAGGTTCCCAGGGCTACCCAACTCCACAGTGCAGGCTTTTGACCACGACCAGACAACTGCCTACCCATCTTCGGGAAGCAAAGCACACAAAGTAGGAGTTTTATAAGTTAGTTCAGGAATGTAGAGAGGACACGCCCATCCAAAGCGTAGGCTCCAGTTCGTGAATGAGATAAAACGCGGAATGTGGGTCTCAGTCGCCCCCGCCTCAATTCTGGTGCCAGTCTTATCATTCCCAAAGGAGATTCCCTTTGGCTTGCCAAGGTGAAGCCACGCCCCCATCTGCGCCCTTCCCGACGCGGGGCTTTCTGGTCTCAGCGGCTTCCGTAGTCCCGCCCTCCGGGCAAGCGGTCCTCGAGCGCCGGCGTCTCTCAGTAGCATGAAGCCACCGCAGCGGCGGCGAGCGGCCCCGGCACGCTATCTGGGAGAGGTGACCGGCCCCGCGGCCTGGAGCCCCCGCGAGAAGCGGAAGCTCCTACGACTACTGCAGGCGCGGCGGGGCCAACCAGAGCCAGACTCGGCCGAGCTGGCCCAGGAGCTACGGGGCCGAAGCGAGGCTGAAGTGAGTCCAGTGCGGGTATGGGCGTGGAAGCTAGATCATGGGCGGGGCCAGGGAGTGGGCGGGGCCGCGGTAGGCTGCCGCGGTCAGTGACGCGTCAACCACTGCTGGAAGTGTGAGCGTGGAGGCGTGAGGCTGAGGGGTGGGGCTAGGCTGGAAACCCCGTGGGTGCCCTTGGTGGGCGGGGCGTGAAGCTGAGGGGAGGAGCCGTGCCTGGGTGGGGGAATGGGCGAGCTTGTCCCTCTGGCTGGGACCTGGCGTGAGACTGAGGGGCGGGGCGAGGAGAGACGGAGATGGGCATGAACTCCGAGTGAGAAGCGCTGGAGACTGGGGACCTGGCAAAAGTCGCAGTTAGACGGAGTGGGAATGAGGATGAAGCAACAGTCAGGAAATGGGGTGGAGTGGACATGAAGAGGTGAGTTTCAGCGTCCGGGCACCTCTGGGCTGCAGGAGGAACCAGAACAAGCCTGGCCCTTACATCTTTATTGCCGCGCTGTTCCCACTCTGGGGCCTTCTTCCGGAGCCCCCGCGGAGCCTCGCGGATCCGAGGCCGGGCCACGCGCAGGCTAGGGAGCTGTGGCTGCGTGTGAAGTAGGCAAGGCTGTGGTCTTGGTTTCTCCTCTGCATCCCTGAACTCGTAACAGGCCCGTTTGGCTTGCTCTTTTCCCCTCAGATCCGGGCCTTCCTCCAGCAGCTGAAAGACCGAGTGGTCCGGGAGGCCATTCAGAGGGTGCATCCAGGTGGCCCAAAACGCAGAGAGGCGGAGCCCCCAGCCCCCATAGAGGTGAGGCAGGTGGGCAGGGCAAGGCTTCTCAGGGCTGGCCTCTGTGGGAGCGGGGACCCCCAAGAGGGTCAGGTCTTGGGAGAGCCTTGCTGTCTGACGCCTGCTGACCATGTGCCTTTGGACTTCACCCAGGTATGGATGGATTTAGTTGAGAAGATAACAGGCCCACTGGAGGAAGCCCTGACAGCAGCTTTCTCCCAGGTACAGCTGGACCCCCAGGCCAGCAGGGTTGTCCCAGGAGACAGGTTGTACATATAAGCCCAAGTAAGGTGGGACTGGGGACGTGGTTTCAGTGGCAGAGCACTTGTCTAGCATGCAAGAGGACCTGGGTCCTGGGCCCTTCCTTTTGTCAGTTCTGTGCCCCTGACCAGGCACTAGACACCTTGATCTTTCCTGGTGGTCCTGTCTTGGAGGCCATCTTCTATCCGTTGCATTCCTCAGAGTTGTGGGGAGGATTTGGGAAGCTGGGGAGGTGGAGTGCTCAGCCCAGGCCCCACAGGGCAGAGGGAAATGGGGGACTTTCCTGTTTCCTCCCTGCTGGCTTCACCTGCCAGGTGCTCACCATCGCAGCCACAGAACCTGTCAGTCTCCTGCATTCCAAGCCCCCCAAGCCCACACAAGCCCGTGGAAAGTCACTGATCCTGAACAGCACTGGAGGGCAGGGGGACACCACCCCAGGGGCCCCTGGTCCTGCCTCTGAGACGCCTGCCAAATCCCCTAATGGCCCTGCTGTTGAGGGAGACATCACCATGGACTTTGAGAAGATTTACAAGTACCTGTCCTGCTGCTCCCGGAGTGGTCATGTCCCAGAGCTCTCAGCAGCTGGTGAGAGGAGTTGGGGAGGGCAGGGGGTATGGGACAGGGGTCCTAGGTGGCAGGTCTTGACTTCCCTTACTCCTTCCCTTTCCATCTATCACCAGAGTCAGCTGTGGTCCTTGACCTGCTCTTGTCGCTTCCTGAGGAGCTGCCCCGCCTGCCCTGCACAGCTTTGATTGAGCATATGACTAAAACATATGCTCACCTGATGGCCCCACAGCCCAGTCCCTCTGGTAGAAGCCCTGGACCTGGGGCTGAGGATGGAAGTGCTTGCTCCCAGGGGCCAGAGGAGCCCAGCCAGACCAGCCCCCATGCCCCTGAGCAAGCCACGCCAGGGGAACCGAGATCAGCCTGGCAAGCAGCTGGGATCTGCCCCTTGAACCCATTCCTGGTGCCCCTGGAGCTCCTAGGCCAGGCAGCCACCCCTACAAGGTGAGGGGCATAGCAGGTCGTAGAAACATCTGAACTAATCTGGCCCTTAGTGTTTTGTAGCCATCACTGGGTTGTCATGAGGATTATTTTAGAAGGTCCCTGACATGGTGCTCAATGTGGCCTAGTCTTTAGATGCTTTACATGTCAGGGATCTCAGAAACAGAACTAGAGTTGTGCAGGGATTAATGGAGAATAGGGATGCAAGACTCTACAGACAAGCATCCTGAACCCCTGGACAGACAGATGGAACTGACCTGCCAAGCCCAGCTTCCTTGTTCTCAGATAGCAGAGCCATGGCTGGTCCCCCATACTGTGACCTCCTCATATGCCCTCTCTTGTCCAGGTTTTCATTATTTTCATCCCTGAGCCCTCTTCACTCTCCTCTATTCAGTGCCCACCACTGCCGGCTCCTCATTTCTTCCTGGGGTGTCCTATGGCTTCTAATAAAGTTCTCATCTACCTGTCCTGCTCTTTTCCCCATGACTAAACAATGGGGTTGGGGCTCTGAGCCTGGGGTCATGTGTACTTTGGGGGCCACACCAGGGAGGAGGGTGCAGTCACCAGCACCAGTTGCTGCCTGGCATGACCTTAGTTTGGCCATGAGGATCCCCTTGGCAACTGGGTGGAGGTGGGTCTTGGACAGGTGTGGTTGAGTAGGGCTTATGGGGAGACAGGTGTCAGACAGGTTTTCAGAGCAGGGCAATGTCACATCATACACGCGGAAGGTAGAAGGCAGCAGAGAATACGACGCCAACCTGGGGGCCCAAGGCCATGGGCTGTGGGAGGCTTAAGTTGGGGGTGACGTGCCCCAAGCGGCAGGAGGCCAGAGGAAGGGGAGTGGGTCCCCAGAAGTGGCCTTACACCTTCAGAAAACCCTAGGAGGGGAGGAGAGAGGCAGAGGGCCTTAGGAGGGGAGTGAGGAGCAAAGCTGAGTGGAGGAGTGGGATCAAGTCCTGGTCAATCCCCAAGATCCCACATTCCTGGGGGTGTTGCTGGGCTTCCATGCACCAACTACACCTGCCCTGCAGGCATGGAGTAGGGCCGGTCTGGGGTAGCCAGGTGTCCTCCCACAGCGCTCCCTCTCCCACGCCTGACTAGCTGCCGGGGAGGGGGCAGGTTGTCTGCTGGCAAGCCTGTGCCTGCACACAGCTTTCCTTTTATAGAAACGTTCATTTCTCCCCACACACTGCACACAGCTCCCCTGGGGCACACAACACATCTCCCGGGCCAGCAGTGGAGCGCAGCCAGCCTACTCGGTGGCCATAGCCTACAGTGCCAGGCCCACTGGTTCCAAGGCACACTTGATGATGGGGGAAGGAAGGACAAGGCCCAGAAGGTTTGGGGCTGCAGGTGTGGTTCCTGGGGATAATCCCCAAGGTTGGCTGAGGGTACCCCATCCCTGTTATCCACAGCTCCCAGCATCTCCCCAGATCGAGGGAAAGAGGTGTGTATTTATCTTAGCTGTGCCTGGCGCTGGGGGACAAGACAGTAAATGTCTCCCCCTGAAGCTAGAGAATTGGGTTAAGATTATGCAAAAGCCAGACCTGGGTTCCACTTCCAGCCCAGCTGAACATGAGGCAAGAAGCTAACGGCAAGCCCTTCTTAAGTGCCTGGACCTCAGTCCCCTGACCTGTAGAATGGGGATGCTAACAAAGCCCAGCTCATTCTCACCGTACCGAAGAGCAAATAGGCTAGGAAAAGGAGGCCCTGAATAAACAGCTGCTTACCACACAGTCAGCGCTCCATAGTATTTATTATCATCATCATCATCATCGCTCTGGCAGGGAGAAGTGAAAAGGCATGAGAGGTAGGGTAGGGTGGCAGCGGGAGGAAGCAGGGGGGCCGATGGGGACGGACGGTGGCACGAGGAAGGGCGCGCTGACCTGTACTGGGGCCCAGGCTTGGGGCGGGGATGAGCCTGCCCCGCACTCCTCCTCCACCGAAGGCTCCACACATCCTGGACACAACAGCCACAATGGGTCGTCAAGGGTCCCTCTCGGGGCAGGCCGCGCAGGATATTATTAGAAGCAACCATCCAACCCGTGGGCCCGAGAGAGCGCCATTAGGGCCGGAGCTCAAGGAGGGGCTCAGCACTTAATCACGGTGAAATTGAGGGTGGTCAGAAGACAGAGGTGTGGAGGACAAGGAGTGTCCCCACTTTCAGGAAAGAACACGACACTCATGCCCACAGGCAGGACAATAGCAGAGCCACTTACACGCTGGGAAAGACGGGGATCGGTGCGGGAATCCTTTTCCCACCTGGGATTCAGAGTGCAGCGGAGATGGGGCAGGGCAAATAAAGGCACGAGGCGCGACTCCGGCCAGGCCAAGGGGGAAAGATGGGCGGGGTTAAGGGAGGGCGGAGCTTCTCTTAACGCCCGGGCCCCGGGCTGGGGATTCCGGGCCAGGATCCGCAGTGCACTCCTGGCCAGGAGGTGCCCCTGCCCGGATGACCCTCGGAGGCACAGTTAAGGGCCGGCCCGGGACGCCGAGCCCCTCACACCAACGCGTAGTCAAACTGCCCACGCTCGAGCGCCTCCTTGTGGTCGGTCCAGGACGAGGCGGGCATGCGGCTGTAGGGGTCGAGCAAGATGCGCACGCAGCGCACCATCAGCAGCACCAGCACCACGAGCAGGCAGAGCACGAAGGCGAACACCGTGCGCTGCTCTGCGTCCAGGCCCGCACCCACTGGGGGTCCTGTCGATGGCGGCAGCGGCTCCGGTGACAAAGTCCACGTCGCGCTCATGGCTCACATAGCCGCACGCCCTGCGGAGGAGGGGGCCCGCCCAGGGCTCACGGATGAGGCTACGCCCTCCCGCGCCTCCGCGTTGCCCTCTCCCGCCGCCGCCGCCACCGCCGCCACCGCCCCCAGGTCGTGCCTCGCAAATCCCCCGCCCGCGTCGCCGTCCCCGGGCTACGCCCATGGCCGGACCGCGGCTTACCACCACCACCACGCGGGGACCCAACTCCGGCAGTGCGCGCAGGCGGGGGCGCTGAGAGCCGGGCCAGGAAGCCCCGACCGGCCCAGCCCGCGCACAACAGGTGCGAACGCGCGGCCAGTGCCCGAGCTACACCGCGGAGGCGAGTCCCCGCTTCCCCAGCCTCACTCCCTTTGTTCTCTGAGGCCGGGGACCCCTTCCCCCACCCACGCCGCCCTCTCCCCGCGCGCCCCTCACCCTGGCTTCAACCTGGACCCGGACGGGCCACCCGGCGGCCTCGCTCTCTCCAGGGACCTATACCAGCTCCGCTCTCGGTCTTTCCCCGGCGGCGGCAGCAGCAGCGACGGCGGCCCCGGCTCAGCCCACCCCACCCGCCCCTGGAGCGGCGGAGACCGAGGCAGGCGAGCCGCGCGCCAGCCGGGCCGCCGCGGCTGTTCCCATGGAGACGGGGGCGGGGCCGCCGCGGGGGGCGGGGCTGCGCAGCCAGCGGCGCGCGGGCTGGCTACTCCGTAGTGGCCTGCGCCGGGACGACGCCCCCACCCCAGGCCTGGACAGACACCCAGCTCCAGGACTCCGCGAGCACTTGGAACCTCACCCGGGAGTGAACAGCAGCCACTCCTCTCCCACCAACACCTCGGACCTCTCGAGCTCGACGACTGCAGCTCCATCCTCCCCAACAGGCCCTTCAGCCAAGACCGGAGGGTCCTAATACCACCAATCACCACTCAGTATGGGCGGCCAAGTTACTCCATCCCTGAGGACCCCAACCCAGATGATCCCCTAGGGGAGTTGATCCCCCTACTTTTCCTAGCACTGGTCTTCCTGTCAACAAGCAGGTAGGGTCCCAGCCAGGGCAAGTCCCTCCTCTGGGGCTGCAGTTTCTTCTCTGACCTTGAACACCTGGCCTTTCCCTGACAAGCTGGCCGGCTCCCAGTCACCAGCCACCACCCCCCAACCCCAGAGAAGCACACAGACCATCCAAGCTGCTCTTCTGCACTTTGGTGTTTTATTATTTCCAAATCTCAGGCTTATGTACAGGAAATAAGAGCACTGATAAAAGACAGACCTAAAATGGCCTGGCTGGTGTGGCCAGCAGGCCCCTGGGAGCTGCAGCCTTTTTACCCCAGCACCCTGTCCCCAGGGGGAGTTCCCCTCCTGAGAGCCTGTTGGCACTGTGTGGCTGGTACACCCATGGTGACCCGCTATCAGCAGCCCCAGTCTGGTGCTGTGGGGCACATCTCCTGCCACCAGACACGTGGCACCTGCAACCCCTTCCTTGTCCAGCTGGTTCTCCACTCCCTGTCTGAGCTCCAGGCATAGACCAGAGTACTGTCCCCAGAGGTCTATAGTTGCCAGGGGTGATGCCCCTGTATATGTGACCGACATGATCCAGCCGCAGAGCTCCCTGGTCACTGCTGCCTTGCTCAGAGGATCTGCTCTGAGCTGGAGGCAGAGATGTCCAGGAGGCGCCAGGCTGCGTAGGGGTTGAGCTCGTCCTGATCTCGGCAGAGGGCCCACATGTACAGCATGCGCAGCACCTTGTCCTGTGGAGCAGAATGGGGCATGAGGGACTGGGGCTCAGGAGGCAAACAGGGTCAAGGGGCTATTGAGAGGCAGGGGAGGACACATGGATCAGGGAGGAATCAGAGTGCTGGGCTGGGTCCCCAGGGGTCACTGCTCAGGTCTTGGTAAAATTGGACAACAGATGATGCATCCTCTGATGACCAGGCCCAAACTCCTGTCCTGGGGTTTCTCCCCATTCCCACCAGGTCACAGAAATTACTGGTTCCAAGCTGGCATCTGTGCAGGGTGGCCACAGGCAGGGTCTTGGGGGTGGGAAGTTGTGCCCCCTCCCCCCAGAGTTCCCCCACTTACCGGGTCACCCTCAACCACCTCGCCTTTGGGATTTCTGATCACCATCACCAACTGGGCCTGGAAGGTGATGATCAGCACGGGACCCTGCTCCATCATCTTGCCCATGGCCAGCTGCAGGTAGCAGAGAGGGCAGCAAGCCTCAGAGAAGGGCCTAGCCCTTCCTGCTGCTCCTGGAGGTGGGAACCCCTGCCGTGGCCCTTCCTCCTGAAGCACTGCCACTCAGAACAGGACTGGTCCACTTCTAGGAGTGGGGGGACATTTCCCATGAGACTCTTCCCATATTTTCAAAGACCAGGACTTAGACTGTGAATGTGCATGAAGGCCACAGGGGGGAAGAGAGGAGGAGCTGGCTCTGACATTCCTACTGCTCCCCAGAGGAAGGAAATCGGGGGTGGGGCGGGGGACGTGGTAGACCAGTCATTGGGGGCTCTCAGGAATGCAATGTCTGGGCAGTGCCCCAAACCTGCCTAATGACACAGGTGCTCCTGGAAGCATGATGGAGTTGCATCCTGATAAAACCATCAGAAGTTAAAAATCGGGGCTGGGGATGTGGCTCAAGCAGTAACGCGCTTGCCTGGCATGCACGGGGTGCTGGGTTCGATCCTCAGCACCACATAAAATAAAATAAAGATGTTGTATCCACCGAAAACTAAAAAATAAATATTAAAAAAAAAAATCTCTAAAAAAAAAAGTAGTTAAAAATATCACTGCTGAACACACACCGAATGCACCCAGCCTACTGCGCATCCTGGCGTAGCTCAGCCTGTCTCAGGCACACCATGACACCTACGTTAGCCTACATTTGGGCAAAATTCTAACACAAAGCCTATTTATAATGAAGTTATTACAAGGAATTTTAAATCAAAATTCTAAGTACAGTTTCTACTGAATGTGTATGCTTTTGCACCATCATAAAGCAAAAAAATCTGAAACCATGGAAGTGGGGGATCACCTGTATCCCAACCACAGGACTATGGAAGTCCCTTTCTGCAAAGGGACCCTGCAGCTCATTTAAACGCCTGCCTATACTGAGTGTCGGTGCTAACCAGCAGGGTGTCCCAGTCCAGGTGAAGCCGTCCCCTGTCCCCTGTCCCCTGTGTGGACCACAGCCCCCACCCCTCAGGGCTCCACCCTCAGAGGCACTTACGTCAATGTTGTCAATGTCTAGGACGCGTGAATGGAACTGGAGGCCCAGGGCCTTGGCCTGCTGGATCGGGTGGGCCAGCTGACTGTAGGTCTGCAATGAGAGGCCAACATGCTGGTGTGGACGGCCATCCAGGGCAGGTCACAGACTCAGTTCCACTTGGAACCAATGTCTACACACCCTGGCACCTGGGTGAACAGACAGTGGGAGCAGAGGCCAAGAGCATGGGTCCAAGAGGAGGTAGGTGCCACCAACCTGCTGGCCTGAATCACTTTCCTCTTTATGGGAAGAGTGCGTCTCCCAAGTGAAAGCTGTATTAATCAGCAAACGAGTAATTCTGCTGGAACGCCATCCAGAGCACTCCCAGGGCAAGGGGGCGGATCCTTGGCTGGTCTTTAACACTTGGTATTTACCTCCGCTGGACTCTTGGCCTGGAACCTGATGCCTTTTCTAGGATTTGTCCTAAACCTAAGGGTGCCTCTCTCATGGACCGGCCCCAAAAGACACCCTCACTGCTCTGTGCCTGCTCTCAGACTGCGGACACGGCCCTCAAGACACATGCAGTTATGGACATATTCACTAGAAGCTTCTCTGGGCTGGGCAGGCCCCTAGGATGCAAGACACTCTGAAGGCATATACTTTTTATGGAAATAAATGATTCTCAGAAGAAAAAAAAAAAATCGTGCCAATCCTGCTTTTGGGCTTTTTAGAGATGACATTTCAAAAACACCTTGGTGAGCAGCTAGAACTTCAGCTGTGTTTCCAGGAGCACCAGCAGCTCTCTGGCAAAGATGATCAGCCACAGCTTAATGGTCCCAAACTAAAAAAAAAGAAAACCCACAACTCATAAATGCCTGCTGGATTAGTCACGGTGCAGGGGAGTATTTAAAAGGGAAACCTGACAGAATCTTCTGCTTTTTCCAAGTTGTTTGTGAGCAGGGTGCAGAATAGAATGAGCCAAAAAAAAAAAAAAAGTCCGAATTGCTTCAAAGAAGCTGGGGAGGAAAAACAAAGCATATGGCCAAAGAGGCAGCTCAGGGAGAGTGAGGAGGGTGAGGCAAGATGGCCTGAGCAGACAGGCGCTGGGAGGTCCACAGGCATGGGGAGGCTGCCAGGAGCGGGGCAGACAGTGTGTGCTCTGGGGATGCCTGCCCAGCCTCCTTGTGCTGACTCTGATGGTGGCCCCAAGGCCCCGAGCACCGACCCTGGGAAGCAGCCGGGCCTTGTCAGGACGTGCTGCTCCTCCCTGGGCAGTAGATATTGTAAGAACAGCCTTGTTCTTGTAAGATTGTAATCTTGTAAGATTGCCAGGTGCTTTGTACATCTAGGTTGGCAGTGTACCCTTGCACCCCAGTGAGGTAGGTGTGGTGATAAAGTCTGGCTCAGGGGACAGGTGAGCCAGGTTAGTGAGGTACCCGCCATGCGTAAAATTCAGGAGTGCCAAGGGAACATCTGGTTTCTTTACCCAGGGTAATTCACTGACCTTTTTCACCCTCTGCTTGACCCCTGGACTCCAAGCCTGTGCCCCAGGCCACCTTGGCCACAGGGTCCTGCATCATATCTTTACGGCCACCTGACCAGAGCAGGAAAAGATGCTCAACAGGCCATCCTGGAAACCTTACCTTTACTCCATAGCTTAAATCAATTATGGCTCTTTAATTAAAAAAAAAAAAAAAAAAAAAAAAAAATTTGTGGTATTGGGACTTGAACCCAGTGGCACTCTACCATTGAATCACATCCCAGCCCTTTTAATTTTTGAGACAGGGTCTCATTGACTTGAGATCCTCCTGCCTCGGCCTCCAAAGCAGCTGTGATGACAGGCGTGCACCACATGCTTGGCTCTTAATCAAAATTAATTTAAGATGGAGAGGGGGGTGGGCAGGAGGCCCAGGAAAACTGGCAGCTCTGTGACATCAGGTTGTCCCTTGGCACTGAGTAGGAGGAACCCTTTCTTACTGAGGAGCTTCTGTCTGCATGCAGAGGACCTGACGCCCACGGGCAAAGGGAGGGCTGGAAGGCCATGGGCTCTGCATGGGGAGAGCACCTCTGGTGTGGCACTCATGGGCACAGACACATTTGCTGAGGGAGAGATGGGGGGCGGGCTGTGGCTCTGTGCCAGTGAAGCATCTGACACAGACTCGCTCCCTTCCAGAGCCAGGGTCGTCCTGCTGTCCCATCCTCAAGCTAGCTAAGCAGGCCTTCTTCACACGTGGTCTTTTGGGGGGTGGGGAGCCTGGGGATGGAACCCAGGGCCTTGCTGGGCAAGCACTCTACCACTGAGCCACACCTAGCCTTTCTGTTTTTTGGGTTTTTTTTGGCAGAAAAAGAGAGAAAGAAAA